GCGCCGCTGCTCTCTGCCCCGGGATGCCAAAGCCCTGCTTCCGTTAGAGAAGTAGAGGCCGAAAAAAATGAGCCGGCGATGTTTTAACGCCCGGGCGGCCGCCATGACGGCGTGCTTGGGGCGGCAGCAGCGGCAGCAGCGGCAGCACTGCGCTAAACCGGGAGCCCGGCACGCCGAGCACGCCCACAGTGTCGCTTCTCAAAGAGCCTCGACCGCAAGGCGTCCTCCAGGACGACCAGTAGCAGACTGATTCCGAAAGTCGTTTTCGTCACTCTCGCACTCATGGGGCGTCCCGAACAGGTGCGAGAGGACAGAGCGACGAAACAGACTTTCGGCATCAGTCTGCTGGTAGTACAGGGCGACCGCGGGGTGGCTTGCTCATACTTTGCGCCGCTTGCTCAGATGGCCCCGCTTCCGGCCTGGAGGGCCTCGCCGGCCTAGCCTAGCTGCGCACGCACTCCTCGGCGTGCTCCGCGTGCTCGAGCACCGCGTGGGCAGGCTGCAGCGGGCACGCCGCACGCGCCGCGGGGCCGCACGCGTGATTTACTACTTCCGCGCGTGTTGCAGCGCTGCAGCAGACTGATTCCGAGAGTCGTTTTCGTCGCTCTGTCCCTCTCGCACTCATGCGGCGTCCCGTACAGGTGCGAGAGAGACAGAGAGGCGAAAACGACTCTCGGAATCAGTCTGCAGTGCAGCAGCCCGCGTGCCGCCCCTGCTCGTCGCGATGGCCATAGCGTGATCCGCCCCTCCGGCCGTTCGGCCGTTCGGCCGTTCTGCCTTTGTGACACGGGAGCAGGGTATCGGGTGGCCGCCGCCTCGCCTCGGCAGGCCAAGGCAGGCCAAGGCAGGCCAAGGCAGGCCTAGCCGCGGTCGCGCCACTGTGCGGTTTCCCCTTTCGCCCCGCACCGACACCTTGCCGACCCAGCCCCGGCCCCTCCCCCCCCCCCCCTTTTTCTCTCTCTCTCCCGCTGGACCGGGGCGGCCCGACCGACCGGACGCACCAAATCGCTTCATCATCAACTCCTCTCGAGGTGGCGCGGCGTCCAGCCAGCCCGCTTCCCTGCCGCCCGCGTGAGTCCATAGCAGGCCGGTTCCGTCGCTCTGTCTCTCTCGCACCCCCGCGGCACGCCGGCACGAGCGCGAGAGAGACAGCGCGGCGGCGGGGGGAGGGGGGGATTGGGATCGAGGTAATTCCCCCTTATTAGTCTCCTCGATAGTCCGGCAAGTCCACTGTGGGGACCGCGGTTAATGACGACCGACCATGAATAACGAATAACTTGTCGGCCCGGCCGATACACTGGGGACGGGCCGCGAGGTTCGCGTCCCAGGAACGGTTAGGGGACCACAAATCGGCGCGGCGCAGGTCCCCTTCCGAGCGCGCCCGAAGTCCCCCTCGCCGAGCGCGGCCCGAAGGCAAGCCCGAAGGTCCACGTGGGTATTCCGAGGATGGGGATAACCCCGGACCCTCGGGGGGCTTAGTCACTCAAGTAGAGTTGTCGAGCGCCTCTTCAGCAGATGTCTCCGTGGCTCCGGGGTACCACCTCTGCCTACGGCCTCTAGTATTGGTGGTTCGAATACTGGCGAGTTTTTAATTTTTCGGTTTCACCCATCCTTTTTAGTTATGTTCAAATTTTAGGTTGGACAATATGTTTTAAGAATATTAAGGTTTGGTTTATATATGGTACGTTAGGTTACGTAAAGTTGGTCAGGTCGCAAGTGACCGAAACTTGTCGCGACTATAGCATGAAATATTTTGAGAATAGAGTAGGCTAAGATCTGTTGACATTAGAAATAGATCTGCCGCGATGAGAATAAGATCTGTAGCGAGCCCGTTTGGTTTTGATTAGGATAGGTTGGACAAATTATTTTAAAAATATTAAGGTAGCCGTCTGTCCACACCAACATACTACAATTTCCTTCTGACGAACATGCATTTCCATCTGCAGCAGAATCTAGCTCTGCATCGAAGCCGAAGACCTTCCCCTGGCTAATAGATGTTAAAACTATTAGCATTTAGGGTATTTCGATGATTACGGCTCCTTCGTGCCCCAGGTTGCCGTGCTCGGCACGGCACAAAGTCCCCTTCGGCTCCGGCCGCTCGGCACTCTTCGGCACCGCTCGGCTCGGCCGCCAGGGGGACCTGCGCGGCGGCGATTTGTGGTCCCGTATCAAGACGTCGCGTCCCCGCGGGGCCTCCCCCTCCCCTCTTTTCCCTTCCCCCTCCCCTCCCCCTTCCCCCCTCCCCTCCCCCTTCCCCCAGCGGGGCGCGGAACTGAGTTATCGGTGGCGGCCCCACGACGCCCCACGTGGGGCAGCCCGTCCGCACCTTTGTTGCCCCGCCCCCACCACACCTCGAGCAGCAGAGCCCCGCTGAAAGATGTTACTGGGGTGGTTACAGCATGTTACGACGACGACCCTCCGAGGGGAGATGGAGGGGAGGGAGGGGAGGGGGATTCGGCAAAGACGGACAGGTGCAGCGAAGCCAGAGCGCAGCTAAGCAAACCCCTCAGACGTCTCGCCGTACGTACGTACGTACTTGCGGACGTCGAGTGAGTCATGCATGCGAGCAGAGCGGAACCGTTCTATGTATTTGCATTACGTATTTTTTTGCTCCGCCCCCTTTTAAGGTTTTTTCTTATTATTTCCTGCTTGTTTCTCCGTCTCGCAACCCCCTTTCCTTCCTCACCCCATTTCTCTCTAAGCTCTTGGACAAACATGCGGATGTATGGGGCTAATAATAGTCCGGTGAGCGAAGAGTGTGTGCGCTTTTGCTGCGGGGAGGACGAGGGCAAAATGCTGCAGCGACCGTAGGGTAGGACTGCAGACGGATTCCGAGAGTCGTTTTCGTCGCTCTGTCTCTCTCGCACTAATAGGGCGTCCCATGGGTGCGAGAAAGACAAAGCGACGAAAACGACTCTCGGAGTCAGGCTGCTGGGACCGCATACTCAGGGCAAGGACTGCTCTCATAGTCGTCGCGTTTTACGAATTATTTTCGTTTTCCCCATTTTTTAAAATGCTGGAAAGGGCGTATTGTTTGAATGTGTATGAGGTGCGCCGCAGAAAGAGGGAGGGCCGTTGCGCCCCGTGTGTGTGATTTAATGAAAAATGTTTTTTTAGAGGTAAAAAGTTGCTGAAATGAAAAGGGATTTCGTTTTTTAGGTGTGGCGGCCGCGGGTCTGCGGGTCGTTGTGGGACTTTGGAGGAGCTTTCTGAAAGGACGCTGGACGCAATGTGCTGCGGTCGGTCGCTGACCTTTACCTCACTTTTTTTTTGTTTCGTTTTCGTTGTCTCTCTTTTTTTGACAATGGCGCGTCTCTGCCAACATAATTTCCGCGAATCCACCCTCACTGCAGGGCGGGGTGCGGCGGGGTCACTGCGGAAGTGCTACGCCCCGCCACGCCCCGCCACGCCCCGCCACGCCCCGCCACGCCCCGCCACGCCCCGCCACGCCCCGCCAAGCCCCGCCACGCCCCGCCACGCCCCGCCACGCCCCGCCAAGCCACGCCCCGCCACGCCCCGCCACGCCCCGCCACGCCCCGCCACGCCCCGCCACGCCACGCCCCGCCAAGCCCCGCCACGCCCCGCCACGCCCCGCCACGCCCCGCCACGGGGGCATCTGCCCTGCTCGGCCATAATTCGATGTCTGATGACAGGGGGTAGTTAGTGCTGGGCGGCCTGGGCGGGGGAGGCTTGGAAATGGCGACGCAGCCAGACTCCCCCTCCTCCCTTCTCTCTCCCCTTCTCCTCATCCTCCTCCTTCTTCTCGTCTCCCCGACGACCAATTTACTGCAAAATCCAGGGAATGATAAACACCTCCCGCCTCGCCGTCTCCCTTCGCCTTATTTCCTCGCGATGTTCATCGCGGCCCCGAGCAGGAAGTAATTACAAAAGTCAAGTCCAGAGCCGTTGCTCTTTCCCCCTCTTTCTCTTTCTCTCTCTTTCTGCAAGGGAGACGGTGGGGCGATCGGGTAGTGAAGCCCACCTGGCCACGGCTGGCCACAAGGGCGGATCCAGAGACGGATTGAGGGGTGGGGGTGGACGTCGCCAAAGTTGCCTTCTTACAGGGGCAACGTGCGACTTTGTTTCTATACCTTTCAGGCCGCTTAGCCTCCTTCAGCCCCCCCCCCCTTCCCCCTCGCCCTGGATCCGCGCCTTCCCGGCCACCCAGCCAGGCTGGGCCCGGCTAGGCTGGGCCCCTCGCGGGGCTGGCGGGGCTTGCAGCGAGCTGATAAGGCGAGAAGGCGCGGGCCCACCTACAAATCCCGACAGAAAGATTATCCCCGGCTTCTTGCTATTGTCTCCGTTTTTCCGTGCTCTAATTTCATTTTATTCTTATTCCTTCCTGAATGGGGAAGGCGGGTGGTTGTGCCGCGAGGGGTGGGCGGCGTGGAGCAGTCGTCGTCTCGTCGGTCTGTCTCTGTCGCGCCCTTGCGCCGCGCCCCCTGGGTGTGACGGAGACAGACCGAAGAAACGACTCACGGTGTGCTGGTGCCGCGGCGCCAGCGCTGCCCGTCGCGTGGGGCGGTGGGGCGCGGACCGACTACAGCACTGTCTCGTTTCAAACCCCAAATGGCTCCCGTTCACGCGTTAGTGCAGGTGGTTGCTTCGCCGCGCCGCCGCCATTGGCCCGGCTGTCTCTCTCGCACCCATAGGGGACTCCCCATGGGTGCGAGAGGGACAGAGCGACGGAAACGACTCTCGGGATGAACCTGCTGGCCGGGCTTGCCCAAGGGCTTGCCGGGCTGGCGAGGCTCACGGGGTGGTGGTCGTGATTCACAGTGCGGGGGCGCTCTCCGGGAATCGGGATGAGTAGTCCTAATCGGATAGCGCTGCACTGCGCGGAAGGGGTGGTAGGGTGGGGTGGGGCGGGGGCGACGCGCCGCAGGTGAACGTCCCTCTCGCTTCCGCCAGGCACTTCCCCGTCGGGCCCCTTCTCTTGTTGTTGTTGATGATGATGTTGCTTGCTGTGACTGACGTTGTTTTGTTGTTGCTTGTTGCAGGAACGCACCTGCGGGTGTGCGCCCAGGGCATGACGTGCTGCACCGAGCAGATGGAGGTGCAGATGCGGCAGCAGAGCAAGCAGGAGTACGACAAGGCCGTGAAGGATGCGCTATCCAAGATGGCCACCCTCTTCAAGACCAGGGCCACCAAGTTCGATGGTAGGTTCAAACGGGTTCAGCTGATTCCAATTTCTATCCCGGACAAACTGAGTAGTTTTTTTCTAACTTTCGTCTTCTGTTTGTTTGTTTTCCTAGATTATTTCAATGAGATGTTGACGAACTCCAAACGGGAGTTCCATGACATGTTTAAAAGGACGTATGGCATGATATATGAGCAGCACTCCTACGTCTTCACTGACCTGTTTGATCAGCTAGAGCGTTACTATGCCAAGGGCGGAGTTGACCTGGAAGATGCCTTGGATACATTCTTCAACACTTTGTACCAGAAGATGTTCACCGTTTTGAACCAGCAATACCAGTTCGATGAAAAGTAAGATACAAACTCTGAAGTTACGCTTTAAGAAATAAGTGCTTCCTGCAAATACTGACATTATTCTTGTGCTTGACAGGTATCTAGGCTGTGTTGGTGACCATATGAAGGACTTGAAACCGTTTGGAGAAGTCCCCAACAAGTTGACAAACCAATTAAAAAGATCCTTCGTGGCCACTAGGACATTCTCTCAAAGTCTCAGCCGTGCATCAGAAATCATCACTAAGATGGCTAATGTAAGTTAAATTACAGTTTTGATAAGTGTGAAAAAAAATCTATAGATTTGTAACACACTGTATTTTTGTTGAATCAGATTGACACCAGTGCTGACTGTGCACGAGCCGTCATGAAGATGACTTACTGCCCAGCGTGCCAAGGTCTCCCAGAGCTGAAAGCTTGCTCAAACTATTGCATCAACGTCATGAAGGGTTGTTTAGCATACCAGGGTGAACTGGACGCTGAATGGAATAAATTCATAAGTAAGTCTTAATTCAGCATTTTCCCTTGTTTCTCTGATAATTTGAAACTCCAGCAGTATGCTAACACTTGTTTTAATTTTTGCATCCTCAGAGGAAATGGGACGTGTCATTGATAGGCTTCTGAACCCATTCAACATCCAAAAAGTTGTGGAACCAATTGACATCAAAATTTCTGAAGCCATTATGAATTTCCAAGAAGATGGAGCCCAAGTATCAGAAAAGGTTGGTAGTTTGCCTATAACACTGTTCTTGTTGTTGTTGCTTTTTTAAAAAGACAGTTACACATGATAAATCGAATTTAATTATGATTTTTTTTTTTTTTTGGTAACACTAATCATGACTTTTATCATATTCTCCAGGTATTCAGTGGCTGTGGAAGGCCTTCTCTACAGGGCGGCAGGAAGCGCAGGGACGTGCGATCGAGGCGTGACAACCATGGGGAACTCAATTTTGAATCTCTCAAGTTTGCATCACATACCAGAGACAATTTCAGAGGGTCTAACTCTAACTCAAATTCGAATTCCAATGGTGATCTTTCACAAGCCCAAGGACCTACTCTAGAAAAATTAATCAAGGACATCCGACAAAAGGTAAGAAAGATCAATCTTTTAAGCGCTACTCCCATTTTTATTTTGGCATCCTCTTTTGGTATGACCAAGTGTAAATATTCATTACAACTCACTAATCAAATCATTTCTCCTTCTCAGATTATGGACACTCAAAATTTCTGGTCTAACCTGCCATACCAAATCTGCAATGACAAGGCCTCTTCGAAGCCTGATTCTGACGATAACTGTTGGAATGGGGCATCAAAAGCCCGATACGAATTGCAAATTACTGGCAATGGTATGAACAATCAACGATCCAACCCAGAAGTTGTTGTTGACCAAAAGCCTTCATCTCTCCTTGATGAACAGTTGTTCCATCTGCGCACTCTGACAAGCAATCTTAATGCAGCATATAATGGCAGAGATGTTCAATGGATTGACAATGAGAATGGTAAGCCATACCATCATTTTTGGTAGTTTGTTTCTTTTAAATCCTGTCTGTTTCCTTGTTTTCACAGAAATTTTTATTAATCCTTTTATTTTTTTTGTTTCAGATGAGAGCTTGAATGGTTCAGGCAGTGGATCAGGTGATGGTATTGACACTGATGACACAGAGGTTAGACATGAAGGCTCTGGGGAAGCACCCTCTCACAATCATGATGACTTGAACTTTGGTGCTGTTCCTGAGATTGGCGGCAATGCTGCTCCAATTGACAAGGGAACAGTTGTGGAAGGAGTCCAGCAGCCTTCATACCCCACCCACAATACTGAAGATAATAACTTACATCCATCAAGTGGATTAGAAACAAATGCTCTTGACGATAGTGTAGTAGCTACTCGGTCCAATACCACTGCAGGAGGCAGTGGGAACCAGGAGATGACTATTACTAGAGCAGTTATTACTTATTTATTCCCTATTTTCGTTTGTTGGGTAGGGAGTAGCTTCAATAGTATTTCGGAATCTTTGTAATTGACTGAGTTGTACATAAGCAACTCTAACATGATTTCTCTCAAAAGCTGTGATTCATTCTTCAATTTTAATTGTATATTTTTGGTAGATAGACGTAATTATTTAAGTAATTTGTATAGTAATGAGATTTCAATGGACCTAGGAAGCTCAAAGCTGCCATGATATTCACAGAAGACTGTTTCTCTTATTTTTTTAATACACTCTGTAATTTAGAATCCTTGAATTGGAATTTCTACAAAGTCAGTAAAAGACCTTGTTATGCATGAGTATTCTATTCTGCCAATGTAGATTTGATATTACTGACCATCTAAGTTTCTCTTAGAAGAAATTGTTCAAAAATTTCTTGGACAATAACAGTCAATTATTGTTTTAAAATTAACCGAATACATGGACTGTCTTTATGTAATTTTTAAAAGACTGAGATCTCTGCAGGATTTTTCTTTTCTAAGAACCAAATACAACTACGTGGTCTCCATCCCAGAAGGGTTTCATTTTTTTTAAATTGTTTTTACTGCTCTTGGTTTTTAATGTTTGGCTCCATGTTACCCTCAACAATTTTCATGACTCTAGAAGTTTTTCTTAATTATTGCTCTCTTTGATATTACCTCAAAGTCAGTCAGTTGTACTTTTCTAATAGTACTGGAAGTTTTGTGTTGTCAGTGTTGCATAAAACTTAGTCAGAGTCATAATATTATTTGATGCCCATAGGAGTGTGTTAAATGTACTCCACTAGACAAATCTAGGGAAGGTAAAACCGTCCATGAAATGTCAGTGTTGCATCTGATGTTGTTATCCCATTCCTTTAATAATAGAGTTTTGTAAACCTGGAGGTTTGGGAAAAGAGTTGTGGCAGCTCAGAGAAAGTGAGAATAAACATTTTAAATCAATTTAGTCAATGTAGCAGTTTTCAAATGTGGTTTTTTGTTTTCAATTTTCCGTTAACTTGTTTCCTTGTACAGATTTTGCTGTAAAAAGACTTGTATGTATTATGTGTGTATCTACTTTGTGGTTTGGTGTCAGTATGTTCTCTTGTAAAGCTGAAAATATTGATAATGATTTTCATTTGTGTGTGTTGTTAGTCCTTTAATAGTACTACATTACGTAAAGTCATATTTTGTTGTGATCTTTTTGTTACTCGTAAAATTTACTTATGACTGTAACAGATGCTATGGGTTACCAGCCAAAACTTAATTGAGTTTGTGCTAGGTGACCCTTTTTCATGTGATTTCATTTCTCCTTATCCATTTAATTTATTTTTATCTTATTTTTCAAACGCTTATTGTTGAGTGTTGTATGTACTTTTGGATTGGGCAGAACTTTTGCTAGTAATCCTCAGATGTGGTGTGTAACAGTCAATGTTTGTTTTTGACTCAATTGTTTTATTGAACTTCAACTTTACCACCATTATAAGATCATGAGGTAACTTTTCTTGTTTTTTGTTGCTTAATGAGAAGTTTATCATGCTTAGTCAATGGCTGAGGGTAATAAAATCAATAACCTTTTTTCTGCTTCTTGAAGCAGATGAGGATTACAGTAGAACTGTACTACCATTCCATCGTGCATTGCCATGTATTTTTTTGTACAAAGGATGAAAGCCATAGATGTGAATGTAAATGTCAGATATATTATAATGTATAATGTATGATTAAGTTCTAAATGTAAATAGTATCCAGAAGTTAAACTTTCTTACTTAATTTATAATCATATCGTTACCACGTGACTGATAGCCCGGAAAGTGAAACTTTATAATTGTTTTAGCTTGTTTCCATTTACAATTAATTAATCTGTGTCACTTGTTTGTTTACTTTTTTTTTAATTTTTGTAACGATATGCTCTTTTTTTGCTTGTTTTAATACAAATGGTACCCTGGTGTTTCTTGAAAGGCAAGAGAAAGCACTATATCAGCATCAGTGTGACAGTTTTATGAATGCCTAGTGTCCTACACCTCTGAGGTAAAACTGAATAAATGTCTTATGGCTGTTACCTTTGATATTTCTTTCAGTTAGTTCCCTGCCAAAATTTGCACACAGTAGATCAACACTGAGTTTGACCATTGAGCTCTAACACTACAGACGGAAACAAAAATCTTAATAAGCAGGGGACAACTAATTAAATTACTATCCCTGGGAATGGCGCACAACTGGTTTTCAGTCCACTTCAGACTAAGGAAATACATGTGGAAATAGAAATGAGTCAGTTAAATAACTAGATATTAATTTCTATTTTATATTTTTATTTTTTTGTGATTTGGATCAGTTTTGTTGTTGTTGGTGATTGGGAGATGCCTTGAGTAGTCCAAACAATTACAAGGCGAGTTGGGTCTAGAGTCTTGGCCAGTGACTACTTACCCCTAGAGTCCTTTAGCCCCAGGACTGGAGGATTCTAGGACTCTACTTTCTTCTCCCCTACAAGAAATTTCTCATATACAGCACCTACAGAAATTTCTCATACATTCACGTGCAGATGTTGTTGTTGTTGTTGCTGCTGCGGAGGCGGAGGTGTGGTGGTGTGAGTGAGAGAGTTGAGGACTGCCTACTGCTTCTGCATCGTATGTTAGTTACGAATAATCAATACAGCTGAAAATTTCCGCCGATTCGATCTTTGTTCGGCGTTTGATCGAAGTGAGGAACTGGTTCTTTGATCAGTAGTCCGACTGCTCGCTGTGCATCGGCACGGAGGAGACGATGTTCCGCAAAGCTAGAAAGAGGACTCGTGATGAGGGAGCAATGGGTGGCTCTTCCTCAGAAATGGGATCAGGCGAAGTCGGGGACGACGGACTCAAAAAGAAGCCGCGCAACATGGTGCTTGGGCTCGAAAGCCATCTGGAAGAACAAAGGTGCGTCTTGGCGGCTGCTGTGGCTCGTTCTCATCGAGGCACTTCGTTTCTGTTTGTCATTTGTGAGGTTATATTCTCTGAGAGACAATGTGTCACTGCCAGCTTTCAGTTCTGGAGGCCTTCAGCCTCTCTCTGGCTTGGAATTTCCTTGTTTGTGGATTGAAACCGTTACATGACTTAACTGTGGTTGTTTTATTTTTGCCCGATTGTCTGCACCATGATTTTATCCTTTATTTCTTCAATGCAGGTTGGAGAAGCTAATTTTCGGCAATGCTTCGGATGTCATTGCGAATTTGGATACCGATGATGAACTGGAATTCGATGAGAGCCCTGAGCCAAGAAGGAGTCACACTGACCGGGCCAAACGGGTGAATGAAATCATTGCATCCCCATCTGAGGAAGATTCTGGTGTAGAAGAGGGTGATTTAAGCCCTTCGACTGAGGAGGATAAGACCAGGGAGCCAGTGTGGATGGATGATGATGATGACAATATTCCGTAAGTTATTAGGGAATTATTGAAGTTTTGATTGTAAGTTCAATATTGTACCTTGAAGTGAAATATTACTTTGTCATTTTTTTTTCAGAGTCAAACAGGCTTTTCAGTTACAAGGCAGAAATCTCCAAGCAACCTCAAACAGCCAAGAAGAATATTCCAGCTTTCTGAAACGCAAGCATGATTCTTTGATGGGCACCCCACGCTGGGCAGAGCTTGGGAAAACAAGAAAATCTGACTCTGATTCAGAAGATGAAGACAATATTATGCAGGCATAAGTTGTTCCTCTTGGTTTCATTTTTCTTTTTTTTTTTTTTTGGCTTGTAACTTTGTCTAATGGCCATTGTTTTCGGTGCAGCACTCTGGACCTTTTCTCTCTCACCAAAGGCCGCTTAATCTTCGCAAAGGAATGCTTGAATCCAAGCAGTTGAGAGACTTGAACGTGGATACCAATGTAGAGGGTCCAATTATTACCGCTACTGAATTTCACCCCACATCTACCGTTGCTCTTGTTGCTGGCCTTGGAGGTGCTGTGTCTATTGTTCAGGTATGTTAAAACACAGCAGGAGATTTAAGTTAATGTTTCAAAAATGATAATACATATTACTGGTGTCTTGCGTCTTAAACTGCAAAATATTTTATCTTCTAACATAATATTTATTTTATAATACTTGCTCCCTTCCTTTAGGTGGACGGCAAGACCAACACTAAGCTCCAAACAGTACAGTTCGAGCGGTTCCCCATCCGATGTGCCCATTTCTCACATGACGGCAACCAATTCATTGTGGGTTCCAGAGATCATGGACATTTTCATGTGTATGACATGATGGTAGGCCGTTCAATTAGAGTCCCTGCTGATCACTCCGCAGGCATAACAAATATGCAAGTGAGTTTTCTTTCTTATACATTTTTTCAAGGTCCCTGCTGCCTCAATTTTTGGAACTAAAATCCTTTGTTTCTGTTGCAGAATTTTACAATGTCCCCAGATGGGAGACTGATTGCAGCACTGGGCCGATATGGGCACATACATCTTCTCACAGCTCAGAGTAAAGAGTGGGTGGGAAGTTTGAAAATGAATGCCGATGTCAAAGCAATCTGTTTTAATAAAGATGGATCCCGCTTATACTCTCATGGAGGTACCATATTCAAATTTTCAACAAACCAACATAATTGAATGTTGAAATAACCACTCTACTTTTACAATTTTCCTTTGCTTTAACAGATGGTGGTGAAGTCTACATATGGGACATGCATTCCCGAAGTTGCATTCATCGATTCATAGATGATGGATGTATCACTGGAACAAGCATTGCGGTATCGCCAAGTGATCAGTATCTGGCTTGTGGTTCTTCATCTGGGGTTGTCAACATATATGAGGGCACAAATATTTTCTCCTCAGCATCACCTCACCCAACCAAAGTTGCGTTGAACTTGGTGACCAAAATTACATCTCTCAAATTTAATGCCACATCCGAGGTGTTGGCTATGGCATCTATTGAAAAAGATAATGCTATCAAATTGGTCAGTATTTCATACAAATTTTTAAACTTGTGCTGTTCTTTAACCACTTTCATCTGTGATATTTATTTGTTTTTTTCTAATTGGGTTTTTCTCTTTTTTTTCAATTTTTAGATGCACTTTCCATCCATGACTGTCTTCTCAAACTTCCCACACATATCAAAAAATCATATGAAACCTCAATGTCTCGACTTCTCACCTCAAAGTGGTTTTCTGTCTTTTGGTAACAACAAAGGGACGGCTCTTCTGTACAGGTAAGATGTCAGCTCCTGATTGTTTAATATTTTATATTTGTAATAGACGAGTTTAACCCTTGTTTGCCCTTTTTCCTACCATCCAGACTGAAGCACTATGGAAACTACTGAAAGTCTTATCAGTGTCAGCTTTAACAGCAGCAATTTGTATAAATGTAGAAATTTTGATGGTGTTTTACAAATGTTGTTGCTTTTCTCACTCTGTTTAGTTTTATTTTAATATATCAGGTGATTCAGCTGAGCTGTTCATTTTTGTCATATGCTTTTGATAAACAGATCCGCACCATTCTCCTGCGAGATTTTTTGTTTGTTGGGATTTAATACTTGCAAAAATTCACGTCTCAACTGAACCACCTGGTCAATAAAGTGAATATGTAAATTATTTTAACAATCTATCGTACATTGAAAGGTCTTTAAGTTTGTTTTCACACATTCTTTGTAGGAAATAATTATTGGATGTTTATTAACATGTCAATGGATGGTCACTTGCATTGACTAATGACTAGGGTTGGATGACACACCTAGGAATAATGATTTGAAGATGAATTTTCTGTGGAACGTGTTGGATCCTGTTTGGATCAAAACGTTTACATTGGATATTGTATTTTCACTAACTCTTGATTTTAAACTGATAATTTGATGATTCTATCAGTTTTGAGGTTTAATTGTAATTGTGTGATGAGTTGATTAGAAAATCAACAAGACTTTTCATTTTGGCCTTGATTATGGGGTGTGATACAGTAGAGTGGATAATTTTAGTCATGTGTAAGTTATAGTTCTCTTTTTATACACAGGCCTCTGAAATTTCTGCTGACAAGCTGACAAAATTGGTAACAACTGTGAGTGATATTGTGATATATTACCTTAACCAATGTTTTGCTGTACCTGGCTGTGAGCTACATTTCGATTACTGAACATGTATCTTGGAAATAAAACATGGTTTTGCCTTCCATTTTTTTAATGTTTATTATGTAAGGGTTCGAGAGGTATGATACAGGGCCACACAGTGGCCAATAAAATAGACGTAATTTCCCCGTGGGGAAAAGGAATCCTTGTCTTGTCTGAGGGCACTGCCAAGGTACCTGAGGCTGGAGTCCCAGAGTACGGCTTTCTAGTCTGGGGCTCCGTCCAGGTGGGAGCAGCACAGCACGCTGCCCGAATCAGTTCCTCTTCTTCTTGTCGTCCGCGGTGGACGCGGCCAGCATCTCCTGCACCTGCGCCAGCGTCTTGCCCTTGGTCTCGGGCACGAGGGAGGCGACGAACACGGAGTAGCCGAGGTTGTAGGCGGCGAAGAAGGTGAAGGGAGCGGCGAAGCCCAGGGCGCGTCCCACGATGAAGAAGCTCTTGTGCAGCACGAAGGCGGAGATGGCGACCAGGGCGCCGGACAGTGGCGCCACGGACGCCTTGGCGCGCTGCGGCAGCAGCTCGCTGGTGAGCACGTGGGGGATGGTGACGACGCCCATGCCCGTGGACGCCATGTAGGACACGAGGCAGGCCAGCGGCAGCCAGTGCACGCCGGACACGTCGGCGCCCAGCACGTCCCTCGCCACGAAGAAGCCGGCCAGGGTGGCCAGGGACGCGGCGTTGCCCAGCGCGCTGCCGGACAGGATGGTGCGGCGGCCCAGGCGCTCCACCACCGGCATGGAGCCCAGCACGGCGGCGATGTTGACGGCCACGAGCAGCACGCTGCACACCGCCGGGCTGAGCGGCGCGCCCGCCACCTCGACGATCTGCTGCGTGAACACCATGACGGTGGTGATGCCCAGCATGGCGAAGGAGCCCGTCACGAACAGGCACAGGCAGGCCGCCTTCTTGGCCACGGGGTCGGCGAACACCTCGCGGAGGGAGCCGCTGCCCGCGCTGGCCTGCTGCTTCACGGTCTTCTGGATGGCGGCCAGCTCGGCGCGGATCTGCAACCATCAGGAGGTTGTTTCTAAACGCCGCATCACATTGCGCTGACGGAACGCGACGGGGCCCAAGGAACGCGACACCCTCACCGTGAAGGTGATCCCACAACGGGTCGGTCCGTCGCACACGGTCGGTCGAACGGTCACATGGAACATCACAAACCGGTGGCTTGGTCGGCAAGAGCGTCGCCCAAATCTTTTCATGAGTTAGGTTCCCAAACTCTCAGTTCACCTCACTTCACGAACCCGAAGAATCAGGTAACCATGGGTCTGAGTTTGGGCGGAGACACACCAGGTGATTTGGTGGCGCAGGAGTTCGGTTCAAATCCCAGGTATAGAAATGTTTTCCTCTGTTGAACCTCGAATCCGGTAACTTACCATTACTTCCAAGATTGGCGAGCGAATTTTCATCGTCTCGGTGGCTGGGAGCGCAGAGGAGGTGTTCGCGCTGAGAGACTTTGATTCGAATCCCCGGGTACCGAAACATTTTTCTCAGTTGACTGTATGAATGCGGTACAATTAGCCCAAGTTCAGACTGGTTTCTGATTAAGGAGAGCCTCGGTGGCTCAGGGGGCTGAGGTGTCGGTCGTAGAGAGAAGCACTCGGGTTCAAATCCCGGCTAAGAGTATGGCTTATGTTTTCCGCCGCGGTGCTGCTTTTGCAGCAGCGTGTCAGATGGGTGGCCTACCTTGACGGCGCGGCTCATACACTGAATTAAGAGCCAGATATCTTCCAAACAATCTTGGCTGTTAAAGAGTGCAAAAGAGAGTTCCTGCCGTCAGCCTCCGTCAGCGTGGCAAATGGGTGGTCTATCTTGGTGGCGCTGCTCACTGTATATCACCTCTAGGATGCAAAAGAGTTCCCGCCGTCGGCTCCCACCCCCCCTACCCCCCCTCCCAGAAGGAGAGGGGAGTAGGGGCAATCATAAAGGGTTAGTAACCTGACCTGGCTGGTAGCGAACCAGGTCCAACGGGAAACATGTGCTGCCGCATGGCCTCCAACCAGCCTCCACGGCCCATCGCTCTGCCACCTGAGCTACGACAACACACCTGTCCGACACGTCCTATCTTAGAGTGATGGTACCGGGGTTGAGAAGTAAACTGAGGAAAAGATTCACTCAACTGGGAATCGAACCCAGTTCTTCCTCCCACCGGCCGACACCTCTACCATATCGACCATCCAGCCACTGAGAAGCAACGCGATCTATCTTTGAGTGATGGTACCGGATTTGAGAAGTAACCTGAGGAAAAAGATTCACCCACCTGGGAGTCGAACCCAGGACTTCCTCCCGCCAGCCTCCAACCAGCCTCTATGGTCCATCGCTCAGCCACCTGAGCTACGACAACACACCAGTCCGGCACGTCCTATCTTAGAGTGATGGTACCGGGGTTGAGAAGTAAACTGAGGAAAAGATTCACTCAACTGGGAATCGAACCCAGTTCTTCCTCCCACCGGCCGACACCTCTACCATATCGACCATCCAGCCACTGAGAAGCAACGCGATCTATCTTAGAGTGATGGTACCGGATTTGAGAAGTAACCTGAGGAAAAAGATTCACCCATCTGGGAGTCGAACCTAGGACTTCCTCCCGCCAGCTGACACCTCTACCATATCAGCCAATCAGCCACTGAGATGCAATGCGATCAATCTTAGAGTGATGGTACCGGATGTAAGAAGTAAACTTAGGAAAAGATTCACTCCTGGGAGCCGAACCCAGGCCAGCTAAAGAAAATAAGTTTGTCATTGGGATTCGAATCCAAGTCCTCATTCGAGGCGGCCGCTGCCTCTGCGCCCGGAGCCACCGAGACTCATAAGCCTCCTCAGCGTTGCCGATCGACCGTCCGACCGACCGTCTGCGACCGACCGACCCATTGTGGGATCACCTTGACGTCATTCCGACGCCTCCCGGCCAGAGAGGTCTATCTTTTCCCTTATGTAAAAGATGGGCTCTTTTGCCTGGAGAGTTTCGTGTTCTCTAGGAAGGCGCCCACCTCCTCGTCCTTCTTTCCGGCCCTGAGGGCCCGCAGCGCGGCGAGGGCCTGGTCGGCGCGGCCCTTTGACGCCAGGTAGAAGGGCGTCTCCTGCATCCAGCCGCTGCCCAGCGCCAGGAAGAGCGACGCCGAGGCCGTGAGCAGGGGCACCAGGGCCAGCAGGCGGTAGGACAGCAGCGGGCCCACGGCGTACGAGATGAGCGGGCCCGCCATGATCTGCAGGTTGGTCCACAGGATGAGACGGCCGCGCATCGCCGTCTCAGACACCTGGGGAAAGCGGACGACATCAATTTTAGTTGCAAGGAGATCGAACAGAAGTGACCTGATGAGCTTCGAGCACAGTGGGCCAGAAGACCAGCACCGGCGGCAAAGACTCTGAACGCGTTTTGAGCTCCAGAGTCGCTTAACAGGACTAGAACCGAGCGTGTGACTCCCACCAATGGATTCCTCGCCCGGAGAGCAATCCATTGGTGGGGTCACACGTTCGGTTCGGGTCCCATTTAGCGACTCTGGAGCTCAAAACGCGTCCGGGATTTTGACCAACTCCACCGGTCTTCTGGCCCACTGTGCGGGGGCGCACTTCAACGTAGAACATGTCCAGTAAAGCCGTTTTGATATCAAAATGAACCTAATTTCGACAAAAATCACTCATTTTGAGGTCACACTGACGTCATTTGTACTTGGGTTGGCGCTTGACGCGCTGGACTTACCTCGGCCACGTAGATGGAGGCGAAGGACACGCCCACGCCGTGGCCCGCGCCGCCCAGCAGCCTGGCCAGGTACAGGGGCTGCGCCGAGGAGCTGAGGAACGTGATGGCGGAGCACGAGGCCAGCAGCACGGGGCCCAGCATGAGCGTGGTGCGGCGGCCGGCGCGTGCGAACACGGCGGACCCGACCTGCAAGCCGAGGATCGTGATGGCGGAGCACGAGGCCAGCAGCACGGGGCCCAGTTCGGTTCGAGTCCCATTTAGTGACTCTGGAGCTCTAAACGCGTTTAGAGTTTTGACCGCCCCCACCGGTCCACTGTGCGGCAGTCTCTAGGCGAGGAGGGCGGCGAGGGCCCCACGATCATGTGTGGTCTAGCCCTTAATGGTAATGGTGGGGTAGGCAAGCCCCCGCGCACCCGTGCGCCGTATTGCCTACCCCCACTTCGTCAGGCGTTTCCGTACTTCTCGTGTCGGCCGCTGTCCATCCATCCACTCTCCGCTCAAGCCACTCGCCAAGGGCCGAACATGTCGCTGTCTCGCGCCGGAGACGTGGCGTATGGCGTTGCACTGCGTGAGAGACCAGCCCGACAGGGGGCTCTGGGCCCGGGGGCGGGCTCAAGCGCTACGCGCCTCGCCGCCCCTCTCTGCCCCTCTCCCCAGGTGGGCGCGGCGTGGCGCTGGCGCGGCGTGGCGCCCAGCGGGCGGCGGACGGGCGAGGCGCCGCCGTCGTGGTGACGTTGCTGTCTTGGTGGGCCGCGCGGTGCGGCGCGGTGCGGCTACCGCGCTTCCTTGCCGCCACCTCCTCGCGCCTCCTGGCCGCCGGCCGGCCGCGCTTTCTCGGCGCGCTGTCTGTATTCGTCCGTCCGCGGCATCGCCATGCAGCGGTGCCAGCGCGGCCGCGGCGTGCTTCGCGTGGCGGCGCGTGCCGCGCGGCTGTCGCGGTGGTCATTTCGCGTGTCGCTGCGCCTCGGCCGCGCCTTGGCTTGCCTTGGCTGCGGCGCGCGGCGCGGGAAGCGGCGCGAACCGCGGCGAGGCAGCCTCCGTTCGCGCGGCGAGCCACCTCCGCGACGCGCTGCACTCCTAGCAGCAGAGTCCCCTTCGCGAGTCGCGTGGACGCGCGTGGACTCGGTGGTTGTGGGTCCGTGCCTCTGTCGTGGTGTCGCCACCGGACGGCCAGCAGGGCCAGCACCCCGGACTCCGGGCCGGCCAAGACTGAGTGAGGCCCAGCTGGGCCCAGCCCCAGCGGCCCCAGCCCTGCCGTGGCCTGAGGCCGCCCCGCCCCGCCCCGCCCCAGCCGGATTGGCACGCCCGGCACCTCCTCGGCCTCGCTGTCCTCCTGGCCGGTGCTTTCCCTCCGCCATCCCTGCTTGGTCCGCCGTGCTCGCCCCGCGCGTCGTGCGGATCCGCCTTGTCGTGCCACCTCGCCGTGGAGCGTGGAACTGCCTTGCCGCGCCGCCTCGCCGCCGCTTCGCCGCGAGTCACGATCGGCGGGGCGGTGCGGCGCAGCGGCGCCAACTTCAAGCGGCCACGGTGCAGCAGACTGACTCCCAGAGTCGTTTTCGTCGCTCTGTCTCTCTCGCACTCATGGCGCGTCCCGTTTAGGTGCGAGAGAGACAGAGCGACGAAAACGACTCTCGGAGTCAGTCCGAATAGCCCGCTGGCATGGCCGCGGCGCGACCGCGGCGGCCGGCGGCCATTGCAGGGCATCGCGAAGGCGTCGCGGCTAGAGGCCACCTCCTCGGGGCTCTGTCCGCCGGCCGACGCCGTGTCGTCGTTGTGTCGTGTTGGTCTAGGAGGCCCGTCAAGACGCCGCCCTAACCAACCAGGTCGCGGCGGGCCCGTCCGTTGGGCCGCGGACCAAGGCGGCCACACTCCTCGTCGCGCTGCTCCCCTGGTCGCGGACTTCCCTCCGAGGGCCGTTGTGCAGGTGTGCACCGCGCCCACCTCCTCCGCCGCCGCCGCTCGCGCCCGCGAGGTGGCCCGATGGGGGCCCGAGGCCAGAGAGAGGCACCGCGGCGGCCAGCGACCGCCACCGCCGCCTACAGTCCGTGACAACGGTTCTGTCCAGAGACCTGCTGACTTGCGCCGTGCACAACGTCAGAAAGCTTGCGGCAACCACTTGGACACACTCGCGTGTCCAGATGGAGAGGGACACGTGGTGTGCTCTACTTTTGTACAGTCGCACAGTGGGCTAGAAGACCGGTGGAGGCAGCCAAAATCCTAGACGGGTTTTGAACTCCAGAGTCGCTAAATGGAACTCGAACCGAGCTTGTGACCCCACCAATAGATACCTCGTTCGGTGAGCAATCCATTGGTGGGGTCACACGTTCGGTTCGAGTCGCATTTAGCGATTCTGGAGCTCAAAACGCGTCTAGAATTTTGGCCGCCTCCGCCGGTATTCTGGCCCACTGTGAGTCGGTGCCGTCAACGGCACTTTTGCCTCGGTGACACGAAAGCTGGGGGTAGGGCCGGTGGGGCCCAAGCGCCGATCAATGGGAGGGACAAGGGTCAATTGACCTTGCCCCCTGGATAGCCGCCAAAACAACACTTTGCCCCTGTAAGTATGAAGTACGCAAAGAGTGTTTCTTAGCCCCCCTCACAGGGGTGCGTTCACCCCTTCGCCTCCCCCCTTTTTAAGCCGCGCCTGCACTGTAAGCGTCGTGCCCGCCGTGCCGCGACGGGGCGCTACGTACGAGGGAGCCGGCCAGGATGCCCAGGCTGAAGAAGGACACGATCCAGGAGATCTCGTCGAGGGTGGGGGCGAACGAGCCCTCGCCGGCGCGCAGCTTGCCGACGGCCGGGGAGGACCATCCCAGCGACAGGCCCTGCGTCAGCGTCATCAGCAGCACCGGCGCCACCGAGCGCACCTGGCTCAGCTCCAAGGGCGTCATGCTGGACCTGTTCAAATGCAAAACCACACGGCCAGAGTCAAACCAAAATCATCCAAAATCACGCACGACCAGCGTCAACGTCAAACTGCCGTCATCCATAAACACACGACCTCAAAGTCAAACTCCGAATCTATGGCTCCTGGAGCCCAGCCGACTGATTCCGCTTGGTCGTTCCGTCGCTCTGTCTCTCTCGCTACCTAGCGGCACGCCCCATGAGTGCGACAGAGACAGAGCGACGAAACGATCCTTCGAAATCAGGCGGCAGCAATCGTCTAGCCGTGATTCCGGCGTCCTGCGGAGCGATTCAGTAGAGTCACTTCACCGCTATCTCGCTCGCCACCCGACGGGGCGCTCCATGAGTGCGACAGAGACAGAGCGACCGAGTGAGTCTTCGGAACGGCTCGGCCGGCGCGCGCCAGTGGCGCTCCGCGGAGCAGGGAAGTGCCACGGCATGGCCAAGGCCACGCGGCGCTTGCGTCGCTTTTGGCGCGCTGATGGTTCGGGTTCGAGTCCCCGCCCTGCAGACTGATTCCCTGAGTCGTTTTCGTCGCTCTGTCTCTCTCACTCTCATGGAGCGTCTCGTGTACGTGCGAGAGAGACAGAGCGAGGAAAACGACTCTCGGAATGAGTCTGCAGCTCCTCCAAGACTTGGTGCGTCGCGCTTCGCTTTATCACGAGACGCAGGCCGCGGCCCTTCACGTCCACGTACTTGGAGATAGTGACTGACGGCAAGGCAAGACGGCAAGGCGCGCAGGGTATGACGGCCTGACCTCCGGCCGAGTCCTTGCCGCGATACCAGCATCCCGCTGCATCATGCTGGCTCGCTGTCTAGAGCGGCCGGCGCTCCCTCGTTTCAAAAGACCAAGTTCCCGCAGAAAGCAAACGCCACACACAACCCGCCGTGACCCCCTCCCCCTCCTTTTTGACTTGACATGCCGGACCGCAATTGATTGCATGCCTGTTCTGTTCCTCGTGTCATTGATGGTCCCAGCTGATTCGACTCGAGGACCGCGTCTTTTTTGAATTTGACGAGCGCTCGCCTGGAGTCACGTGGCCGCGCCGTGTTTCCATTCGCGAACCGGATCGAGGATGGGTGAGCCGCCTTAATGGTCTTACCGAACAGAGCGAAGTGGGCGAGCTGCCGCCAGATGGGAGTGCTGTTCTGCCTGCACGCGGCCTGTGCCGGTCGGCCTGCTACTGCTACCAGCCAGCGCCAGCTAGACTCGCGACATTACACTAGAAGAGCCGAGCCGCCTCGCGCACCGCCTTTATCAGCGCCTTCGACTTCTTCGGACTGACTTGGCGGGAGTGCACGAACGGCTATCAAAGCCCGGGGCGCACGCAGATATTGACACAACGATTAGTGCACACGTCGTGTTGGGGTCGGTTGGGGTAAAAATGGGACTCACTATTTCTGGACATGTCATCGATGTTTAAAAATGGCACATTCATGTGGCATGACATTTTAAAACGTTGAATCTTGTCCTGAATTGTTCAGAAATGGTGTCTCGTTATTGCCCCAACTGACCCCAAAATGTTGGAAAAATTTAAGTTATGAGCTTGCAAAGACTGAGAGGAGAAATAATAGCTGCAGACAGTGTGTATTCAAGATTCTTTATGGTTCATGACTAATATTCTTTTAAATCCTTCTTCTCTGTTCCAAAACATGAGTTCACATGCGCCAAAACTTTATTTTAATCTCCACTTCAACTGTATAAGTCAAAATAAATATAGCATAATTTATTTATGTCTGTTGAAATCATGTAAGCTTGAAGTCGAATGGAAAGGCTGAGGTCATGAATGCAAAAAGTGTAAGTTCCCAAGCTTATTTAATAATTCATACACCTTTGATATACACTGCTCTTACATTCTTACATTGATTTCTTCTTCTTTTTCTTCTTTGCTTTTGATGAAAGTGATGTATCAACAACAGCATCATCGGTTACTTCCTTTGTTTTGCTTGATTTGGAAGAAAATGAAGTATTGACATCATCATCATCATTGGTTACTTTCTTCTTTTTTTTCCGTTTGGAAGAAAGTGATGTATCGACAGCATCATCAGAGGCATTGTCACACTCATCTCCTTCCATCTGTCCTGGTTTTCGTTTCAAGGCTTTGGCAGTGGTCACGGCTTCAGCAGGAGCATTGAAGATGTCTACACTGGTACCCACTCGCACATTGTGGCCATGGATAGATAAGTCTTCCAATGCTAAAGCCTTCTTGACACTCTTTGGTTCCTGAAAAGATGACAAGACAAAATAAATATAAAGCTATGCCCCCCTCCGCCGCAAAAAAAATAATAAAAAACAAAAGGGTATTGAAAATGATTAAAATTACCTTAAATTGAATGATGAAGTTCCTGTTACCTTTATCTTGACTGATGCCATGAATCAACCCACACACTTGAAACTTCAAGAAAATATCCACGTCCTTAGCCTCTGTAAACAATACGAAAACATTAAATCATGGGATATGCCAGGGATGTTTACGGACAATATAAGAAAATAAATGATGTAACTATACCTTTTGGAGCACCAGCAATATAAACTGGGTTCAATCGTCCTAACACATCAGGCATTAACTTAAATCGATATTCAGCTCTGCCAGAATGTTTCACCGCTTTATCGGCTGATTTTTGATTCTGACAAACAAATTAATTATTTAATTAAAAATTAAGCCAGTGCGTAGGTGAAAGAAAAGAAACAATATCAACAATACCTCATAAAATATGAAGGCTGAAGTACGGCTACGGTTAAATTTGACTCTCAGAATCGGACCATATTGACTGAACTCCTTTTCCACATCTTCTTTCTGGGTACCTAGAAAAGACAACCATACTCCCATGAACTACATGGTTGGCCTAAATGGGTGCTTTAGCTGTGAGCTGAGTATAACATTAATTAAAATCCATCTTACCTTCAGAAACTTCTGTTACGACCACAGGATCATGGGCCTTATTGCTAATTTCAAATATGGGACGACTTAAAGAGACCACATTTCCTTTTACTAATTTATTCTTCTGTTGCAAGGCTTTCTTAGCGCCACTTTCATCCTAAAAAAATTCAGAACAAAACCCTAAGAAGAGAACCTTCTTACCTATTTACAGACTGAATAATTCATGGAACGCAAGGTTCATACCTGGAAATATATTTGAGCATCAATAGAATTTTTTGAATTCCACACAAGTCCAATATAACTAATGGGGCCGCAATCTTTGAAAGATTGCCATAGATCTTCTTCAATAACATCTGAAAATTATCAAAGAAAGAACGTAGGCTCATTACTACAACCGGAACACTTTTTAAATCAAATTTAGAAGAATCAGCTATAGGAGGCTGAAATCATACCTGGTGAAAGGTTGGACACAACCACTGTTCTAAGAGAGGGAGTGTACTGATGAGCCTTTGAAACAAAACTGTGCCGACCCTCTAAAAGAATGGACTCAGATGAAACAGCTTTGTCTGCCTCCTCTTCTTTCGAAAATACCACAGCAACTCTTTTCATTGTCGTACCTCCCATCGTTTGAATGTCTGATGCTTTAACCTGAGAATTAAAAAAAGCCAACCAAACATCAGTTAAAGACATTTAGCTTAATGCACATCTCAAGACTATTTTGAAAGATGGTCGACAAAACAATAAACGGTAAGGTAAATAATTGTTACTCACATCAACAATATTTCCACAAGTCTCTAAGCGCTCTCTAACAACAGTTTCTACATCATCAATTTCAGGTATATTTGTCACAAACACAGTCCTCAGACGCTTCCTGAAAATAATTATGTCAGCCAACTAATATCCTTCATTATAATAGGACTTAAGTTGTAACAGATACATACTTTTTGCGGCTACCCTGCTTAATTTCTACATCCTCTCCGGACATTGTGCTGATGTTTAACACCTCTCCAGGCATCTGGTGCTGATGTATGGACTGTAATAGTTAAAATTGCAATAGGCAGGAATACTTAAACTTAATCATAACCTTAATAAACGCGTGAGGATACGCCGACTGCCGACGTCCCGAAGGCGTGATCATAGCCAATAATTAAACTTTTAGAGCCAATGATTTTCTTGCACTTACATTCAATAAATGCTGATTTCAAAATGCTTAATTGATGGCGTTGGGGTACAGAATAGGGCTGAACTGAGGAAATGAATCTATATTCGGCACAAGCAAACACCACGCCTTAACCTCAACCTCCAACAACAGACGACATGTGTTTTCGTAGGGTGCGTTCCAGCAGTGACGTGATCTTCTCTTCAACTTGATTTGGTCAGACAAGATCAGATCCCCGAGGGGTGGGCCTTAGGAACGAACCCAAGTTCCACATGTTCTTCAACAAACATGGCGTCTCCGGTACCAGTGGTCGCAGGTAAGTTTATTTTAATTTATTTATTGCATGACCGCATCATTCAATCCTCATAAACATAACTAAATTTGTAAAGAATGGTTTCATCTCCGGGATGTTCGCACAATAGTGCGGGTTGCGCTCTTTCTGTTAGGTCAGACGGGATACATAAGGATGGGTCCGGTTAGGGCCGTCCGGTCACTACCATGCCAGCATCATCTTTTCCTCGGAAAACCCATAACAAAATGTACTTACTTGTTCTAAATTTGAACAGGATTTGATGTCAATTTTTTATTTGTTTACAGCTGTGCATCTTGCCTGTCAGTACAAGTGCAGGGTCAGAGTATCTCCTCTGCCATGGAAACTTGAGATTGCCTAGTCACATGTTTAAAATAGATTATATATGATGATATTCTATTTCCTCGCCCTATCTGACGACAGTCCGTACGTCGGTGTCAAAGTACGAGTTGAATATACTATTTGACACTCATACTGGGCACCTGAGCAGCACAACTGGCATTATGCAAAAGTTCCCAACCTAACTTTTAATAGTATTCTCTATTTGTGTACTTTGAAAGTCGCCCTTATCCCCACCCTTTTTCCCTATCTCCAAAAGCTTTTTTTTTCTAATCTTTACCTGACTGGAATTTTTGCTTGAGAGAATGTTTTGACAGTTATAATTGAAATGCTCCAAATTTGATCCCCATATGTTTTCTAATTTTCTAGCAATGTTCTCAAAATTATTTTTTTATCAGTTAATTTTTCACATTCTCTTAATCAACCAGTTGTCAACTTGTTTGCTTGTGCTGAAAATGGTTTGTTTTGTTTCAGTTCGGGGATCAACTGGGATCTCAATCAACCTAGGTCCTCCCAACTATGATCCAGTTACTGCTTTCCAGAAAGATGATAGCAAATCATGCAAATGCATGCTTTTCAGCCCAGACAGCAAAAAATTTGCTTGGGCAAATGGAATATGGTCTGTTAGCTTTGCTTTTGAGATTGACAGTTTTCAGTTGACAGTATGTCCTTATATTACCGTCTCTGTGATTTTCTTGTCTTATTAATGCAGTGTGAAAATTGTCTCAACGTCAACATGGAAAGTACTTGCCGAGCTCCCCCGTCCAAAGGTGTCATGTTTAAAATTCTCCCCCAAAGGAACCTATCTCATGACGTGGGAGCCCTGTATCAGTAAGTGGATACAGTATAATAAATTTGATGCAAGCGTAAATATTCTCACCAAATATGATTCTCACGTTCCTTTGATGTGTTCACAGCTACCACAGCTGGACCTGGTGGACCGAATTTACATATTTACAAATCAGAAACTGGTGAATTGGTTAAAGAATTTATGCAGAAAAAGCAAACTGGATGGTAAACTTTTTTATTTCCTGTTTTCTGTTGTCTTTTCAATTTTTGTTACTCAAATGGTTATTATTAATCATTTCAGGGAACCCCAGTGGAGTCAGGATGAAAAGTTGTGTGGTAGATGTGTGGACAATGAATTGCTGTTTTATGAAGATTGCAAATTTGACCAAGCGTCTTTACGTGTCCGTGATCAAAAAATTGGCACTTTTGCCATTGCTCCAGGCACAGCACCTTATCATGTAATCTGCTATATGCCAGGTATCAAGTTTTAGATTAATTTTTTTGCTCTGTTGTGTTTTTGTTTTTTTATTTTTGATTTCTTTGTTTTAAGTTTTTCTTCTAGTAATAAAGTTGACAATGTTTTCTCCACAGGCAAATCTGGCGCACCGTGCTTTGGTAGGCTCTTCCAATACCCCAAGTTTGATCAGCAAAGCTCCTTAGCGAACAAAAGCTTTTTCCAGGTATGTTAGAAAGCTTTTCTTTGAAAAACTTATAATTTTCCTCAACGTACACATAATTTACTGTGGTATGCTCTCAGTCTGATAAGGTTGAAATATTCTGGAACAACAAAGGCACGGACGCCTTGCTGTTAACCAGCACAGAGGTTGACAAGTCTGGTAGCTCATACTATGGAAAGACAACCTTACACTTCCTCAATTCTAAAGAAAGTGCCCTGGTGGTTCTTGGTAAGTGCTATAGCTACCTAATTTTAATTGATTCTGTAAGGGCCATAGCGTCTCGATGTGAGTAGAATTATTTTATCTTGATTTTCTGTAATCTATTTTGCAGGGAAGGAAGGTCCTATCTATAGTGTTGCTTGGAGCCCAAAGAGCTCAGAGTTCTGTGTCTGTTATGGTTTCATGCCTGCTAAGGTTACTCTTTACAACCTGAAGTGTGAACCTGTTTATGAATTTGGCACTGGACCTCGCAATGCCATACATTATAACCCTACAGGCAACATTCTAATTCTTGGTGGGTTCGGAAATCTGAGGGGTGGCATTGAGGTCTGGGATGCTCATCAAAGAAAACTTGTGACTAAACTCGAAGCGCCAGATACCACATTACTAGAATGGTCACCTGATGGCAAACATTTCATGACAGCAACAACTGCACCTAGACTCAGAATGGGCAATGGGTAAGTTATTTCATCATGGCATTGTACAAGTCTCCTCCTTTAACCTTTCCCCCTTCACTGTGGTACCTGACTGTGATGATTGTAGTTTCAAGATTTGGCACTATTCTGGAGCATTAATGTATGAACGACCATGGAACAAGCAGGAGGAACTTTGGGAAGTTTTGTGGCAAAGTTTCCCACCAGGAGAGTTTAAGGAACCTCAAATTAGCTACAAACAGGTTGAGGGTATTCAGCCCAGTCAACCAACAGGTAAATGTTCTGTGACAGTGCAGTTTGAATTACTAATTTATGTGTACGATGAAACTTATGGTGTTGTTTTATTTCTGTGTAGCCTCCAAACAAGTGTACAGACCACCCTCTGCTAGAGGGAAAGAGTCAAACTTTAAGCTGCATGATGAGGAGCTCCCCCACCGACCAGGAGAAACTCGTGAGTTCTAGAATAAAAATGATAATAATAATAATAATAATGAGGTTGTTGCCAGTCTTACCTAACTCCTGAAATTCCTATGTCTGCAGCATCAGCATCTTCAAATGCATCAAAGGCTGCATTAAAAATGAAGAAAAAGCGAGAAGCAAAGAAGGCTAAAAAGGCTGAGCAGCTTGCGGTGGGTGGCGATGCAGTGGAGACCCTTGCACCTTCCAATCCAGCAACAAGAGATCAGAAACCTCCAGCCACCAATGGAGTCTCATCTCTTCTACCAGCCGATGCTGACATTGAAGACCCTGAGAAGCTGAAGAAATTTAAGAAGATCAAAAGTGTGAGTGATCCATTAACATTCTTGTTATTTCAACCTTGTAGGTTATCAACTTCAAAATTTTTGTCTTATGTACTTTTGTTTCACAGAAATTGGGAGAAATCACCCGTCTGAAGGATCAACTGGCTAGTGGTAAACAATTAGAGATCAATCAACTCGACAAGATCAAGAAGGAAGAGGAGCTTTTGAAGGAATTGAAGGATCTTGCTTTGTGATGACACCACGTTGGCACACTGCTGCCGCCAGCCTTTGTGCCCCAAGATGCTCAAGAGGGGTGGAAGCAGTGCTTGCCTGGCTCAATGCTGCCGAGTGCATTCAACTTGGAACATAATGCCTTAAATTTGCCTAGTGTTGTTCCTCAAGCCACAAAGTTTTGTTTGTGTTGTGCCCCAGAGACTCCTCAACTTTATAATGATTATTCTTCTCATGAACATTTTCTATCGAGTGCTTTTCAATCAAAATCCCCACAGTGGGGTCCAATCTCACTTTCAGTCCAATCAGGTGGACAACCTGGATGGAAGATTTCTAGAAATGAATTATCGGCATCCAATGTGCTTCAGCGGAGTCTCTTAGGTTGTGGAGCATGCCACCAAAGACAATATAATCCGTATCAGTCAAATTTTTTTGAATTGCGACTAAGTTCAGTCTTACCTCTGGCGTGCTTCTCAAAGTCCTTTCGACATGACTTGTTTGAGGATAAAAGAGGAAGTCTCTCAGAACTTACTCCTGCTGTTGCTGCATCCACCAGCAGTTCTGAGCCAGCCTTCAATTTGTGGACGTCAGATACTTTTACATTGGAAGGAGGTCATTGTCATTGTGCTACTGTGAATGACTTCTAATCTTCATGAGTTGACAGCACTCAATTTAATCTTAAAGGAAAGATGTATATTTTCCACATGTTGAATGAATAAGAAAGTCGCAAATACTCAACGTCTCTGCTTTACATATATTTGTTTTCTTGTTTGTTTCAATTTAGGTTTTTGCTCAGTTAATTAAGTGTAAGCCCTTTGTCTTTGTTTTATGAATTTGATGGACTTGAGAGAAACTGCCTTGTTGGAGTTTAATCTTATATTAGATGTGGTTGATAGTTTTTGTAACTTTTGTAACAAATGAATTGTGCCCTACCAAAGCTTAACTACAATGATTAAAATCAAACGGGGTTGTTTATTTTAATCTGAGAATATTATTAAAATCAACAAAAAAAAAAAAAAACAATGAAGTGTTTGGGCCAAGATATGACTTATCTGCATGAACATCCCCCCACTTCACAACAGTATTTTCAATGCTCTGTGTGTCAGGTAGTTTTGTCTTGTGCTCATCTATCTACCTACCTATCTGTTTGACTAGATTTTGACAGTGGATTGTTTTTTTTTTCTCTCTCTCTCTGTACTGATCATTTTATAAGTGTTTATATCATTTAATTCAGACTAAGCACAATCATGTACATAAATGAAAAAGTAAGATTGTATTCCATTTCTCTTGAATTTACCTTTTTCTTGGTGTCATTGTAGGTTTTCATCTATTTTCTTGCTAATGATGAATTGTTGTGGTGTTGTATGCCCCATGTGGTTGGTCACATCATCATTATCTTGAGATATTTTTAGGATTGTTTTTAAGATTTGATGTGATTTTTTGGAAGGCCTCCTAATGATTTTCCAAACCCCATTGATATCAGTTAGCTCATAAGAATTTCCTGTGGGTTTTAAAATATTTTGCTGCTATTTGCTCCACAGGAAATATAAGCACAAACTCTCTGATATACTTGTATTTATGTAGAATTACAATGATGTTGAATGTATGTATGCCTTAGATGTCAATCAGCTTAACATATAAAGTCATGTGCTGTGCAATGCCTCTCAAAGGAGTATTTTTCAAGTGCCTTAGACCATTCGTTGCACAGTTGAATTATGATTCTCCTTCATGTTCTTCCTCTCTATGGAGATCCAAATTCTTTTTATCTTGTTTTTTCTTCCTCTGATGTTAAAAAGCTTTTGGGACAATTGAATGTGTGTGTACGCTCTGTGCCAGGGCTATAAGTTGAAATGTCCTGTCAATAAAAGGTTTTTGGGCTGTGGGTGAACTGCTAAGGGCTTCTCATTATTTATTTTGTCAGCAACTTGTGAATGTATTGTACACCGTTTTTGTGAATGCTTTCAATATGTGAAGTCGAAATTCTTCTACTATGTGATTAATGTGATCAAAATTCAAGTTGCAGCAAGAGGTTTCAAAGCTCCTGTTGCCTTGTTATCTACCTCTTACGATGTCGTTACTTCGCTACTCAGATGATTTAAAAACGTTATAAAGTCTATTTTCTGTATGAAAGGTGATGCATAAATGTGCTAAAGCTGCATTTTGCTGGTATGAGATGCCATGGATGCCAACATCAAAAGTAAAGCAGCGTAGGTCATCCTTAACTCTTGTTTTCAATTTCTGACCCATCCCTCCACACAAGATGTACAATATGCGGTACTCAGACTGGTTGCATACTGTGCTCGTTCACTGACCGCACCATCGAGCTGCCTTCCTGGCCGCTGGAGCACTCTGTCTCTCTCGCACCCTTGCGGGACGTGCGGGACGCCCCAAGAGTGCGAGAGAGACGGAGCGACGAAAGCAGAGCTCGGAATCGGTCTGCCGCGAGGGCGCCCAGGGCAGCCAAGCCACTGGCTACGCCGCCGTCAGTAAAAATAACCCGCTGCGTGATGTTCGACAAGCAGAGGCAAGCCCAGTCAGCGGCGTAGGGCCCCGTGCCCGTGGGGCAGGCAAAGGTGCGCGGTTGATTCCGAACCACCGTTGCCGTTACGTCTCACTGTCTCTCTCGCACTCCTAGGAAATGCCCCCCAAGGAGAACGGAATCGTCACGAAAAGGTCACCGTGACCTGCAGGTGATGGACTATTTCGTCACGATTTGAGCACATATGAGGTCACATGTGACCCGAAATAAGCTCACGATAAGCTTTTCGTGACAATTCTGTTCTCCTTGGGCCTATGCGTGCGAGAGAGACAGAGCGACGAGAGCACTGCGCGGAATCAGTCCACTGATAGTTACGAGCAGCGTCGCCGTGCTCTCAGTGGCCAGGGAGGCGTGGCCCCGCCGCCGACGACGTCAGGCGTCAGGCAGGGCACACCGCGGCCAAACCTTGAACACCTTGCCTTCGTCACGTCTTCATAGCGTTCTCAGCAACAAAAATAACGCAGCGATCCCTAGAGAACGTGACTAGCTCCAACTTGACTCGAGACTTCAGAGTTTTACCTTGTAACATACCTCGACTATGAGGTGTTGTTAGCTTTACTCTCGAGTCCAAAAATCCAAACGTTTGTTCCTGCAGGCGGAAGTGGCGCTCAGTCCGCGTGGAACAGCAGACTGATTCCGGGAGTCGTTTTCGTCGCTCTTCCTCTCTCGCCCCGTATACGCAGTGCCCCATGAGTAAGAGAGACAGAGCGACGAGAAGGACTCTCGGAATCAGTCTGCACCGCAGTGGCTGCGGAGGCACGCAGTCCGAGCGTCGCCTGCTTTCTGAAGCGCCCTTGACGGAACGTTTGTTCGGCTGGGCATGTCAGGAATGTCCATGTCCATGCAAATGCACCAGCCTAAAAACCCTGGTCTGTTTGGAACCGATTCCACTGGCAGTGGACGCAGCTGCCGGGGGGGAAAAGGGGGGGGGGGGGTCGCATCGCACTTCGCGCTTAGCGTCTGTCTCCTTCCGGGAGTTGGCGCTGCAATCTTTTGACATCTAACTCTTGCCTCCCTTCAGTCACGAATAGCTATTTCGCCTTTTACTAAAGAGCTCCGTGGAGGGGGACTCATTATGAGCATAAAGACCAATTTTGGAGTGCCTTGCGAAAGCGGGGCCGATTAACCGACATCACGTTCCAATGGATTTTACCCAATCTCAAGGAAAAAATCAGTTACATATTGTGAGTCGTTGCATTATAGTTCTCCATATTGAATGCGACGAAAAGGACTCTCAGAATCAGTGTGCTGCGGGCACCGCTTGCTGCGCCGCCGTGCTGTGACCGCGTATTATTAGAGGCCATAACTCACGCACCAGTTGTCGATGTCCCGCACGCGTTCTTCGCTCTGTCTCTCTCGCGCCCCTCCGGAACGCCCCGTGAGAGCAGTGCGAGAGCGAGAGGGACGGGGCGACGAACGGGATCAGCCTTGCAGCGGGCAAGGGCGGTGGCCGGTGGGTGGTCATACCGACGCGTCGTTTTGCTGAATTTTACACACTAAATTCAATATCGAACCACTCCGTGAATCGGGCTTTCTGATTTCCACCAAGCGGTTCCGGAAGTTCGTTCCGTCGCCCTGTCCCTCTCACACCCTACGGAGCCACGCACGAAACGAACATTCTTCAAAGAGAATCACTCGGCTGGTTCACGTTTACGGACCGGACACCTGCTGCTACCTTACGGCAGAATTAATTCTGGCCGCCCAGAAATGCCCGCCCCGGCCCGCCCCGCCCCGCCCCGCCCCGCCCGCCCCGGCCCCGCCCCGCCCCGCCCCGCCCCGCCCCGCCCCGCGGCGACGCGTCAATGCGAGCCGCGCTCCTAATTGGCTGCGCGCTGCGCTTGGCTGCGCTGCACCGGCCGGCCTCGCCGCCTGGCCGCTCACTATCACTTTATTTTCGGGAAGGCCTGAACCTGAAGGCGCCCGAAGGCTGATTACGAGAGTCGCTTTCGTCGCTCTGTCTCTCGCACTCATGGGGCGTCCCGTACAGGTGCGAGAGAGACAGAGCGACGAAAAAGACTCTCGGAATCAGTGAGCTGAAGGCCTGATCCTGGTGGTGGCGGTGAAGCCCGATTTACCGCCAAGGCTGGCGGCGGTCGGCGACGCCGCGGCGACGCCAACAAGTGGCGAAGGGCGGCAGCAGACGCCTATACGGGGCGTCCACGAGTGCGAGAGAGACAGAGCGACGAAAGCGACTCTCGGAATCAGTGTGCAGGACGTCGACGGCATTCCTAGTGGCGCCGCCGCCTCGCACCGACGCCTTCCATCCGCCACCGCGCGCGCCTAAAGGTTGCGGCTGCTCCAGAGCCATTTCGAACCGCTCTGTCTCTCGTACAGAACGACCCAGAGTGCGGGAGGGACGGAGCGACGGGCTGCTGCTATGTCCGGGCTGCAACAGTGGGCCGGCCAGTACCGCGGAACCGAGAGCAGCCAGCAGACTGATTCCAAAGAGTCGTCTCACCGGTCTCTCTCCGTCGCACTCATGGGCGCGTTCAGTGCGGGTGTGTGTGTGTGTGAGTGAGAGAGAGAGAGAGAAGAGAGAGAGGAGAGAGAGAGAGAGAGAGAGAGAGAGAAAGAGAGAGAGAGAGACTGTCGAAGTGACTCCTCGAAATCTCTCGGCATACCGACGCGGAAGGTTCCTTCATCCACGCCCTCGGCCCGGCCGTGCCAGTGTGCCGCCGCCCCCGCACGCGGCAGACCCTACTCTGTTTCAACTTTAGTCCCAAGGTTAGTTAATTAAACGGAGTGCGGCCGGACAGTCTCGCCCCCTACACCCTCTTTTCTTTTTGCCCCCTGTCTCGTCTAAGGGGCGCCGTGGCGCGCCGCGGGAACCGCCTGGCAACACTGTCGCGGCCTGCCTCCGTGACTCATTCACAGAGTAGCCTAGCCTCACTGAGAGAGGGGAGAGAGAGAGAGAGAGAGAGAGAGAGAGAGAGAGAGCTGGGACACGCGGAGGTAAAGACGCGAAGCAGCGTGCCAAGGTGCGGTGCGTTCGCCCCTCCCCCTCCCCCTCAAGCACAGCCGCCGCCTCCTTCTTCCCGGTGAGACAATCGGTTCGCGTATTCCGTAACTATTACCCATGCCGCACCGACCTGCACTGAATGGCGTACAGTCGAGAGGGCAGAAAGCGGCAGGAAGGGAGCGGGCAGAGCCCTGTCCCTGTCCTCATCACTGTCGCGTGCAAAGCAGCAGACAGCACCGTCCGAAAGACCTACAGAAGTTTGGCTACTTTTCTGAAATCAGAGGCATCGGTTTTGCCTGGGGCGCGGCGCGTGGGATACCATCAGTTGTGGCCTAGCCCGTAATGGTAATGGTAATGGAGCGCCGTGGAGGCAGGCAACACCGGGCGCCGTGGACAGGGCTGCGCGGCGCGTTGCCTACGCCGGCACTCGCAGGCGCTTATCACCGGCCGAGCGGCGATTCAGAACCCTCGTTCGGTCTGTCTCTGTCACACTCATGCGGCTCTCCGTAGCGGTGTGAGAGAGACAGAGCGACGAGCGAACCGCTCATTTGAATCGCCCGGCCGGCAGCCGATGGAGGCAAATAGGCTATGTCTCGAAGTCTCTCGGCGCGGCGGCGGCGAGACGGAGGGTCCCGCGGGCTAGAGCACGCATTCCTTCGCCTAGGTGGCACTGCCGGCGACTCCCTCCCCTCCCCTCCCCTCCCCCTCCCCTCCCCTCCCCTCCCCTCCCAGAGGAGAGAGGGTCTCGCGGTGGCGCCCGCTGCCGTCGCGCGTCGGCCGCACTCGCCGCACTCTCCTCAGACGGGCGGTGTTCTTGTCGGCGACCGGGCCGAGCCCTAGGCGCCCTAGGCCGCGCTCGCGGCCGCGGAGGGCTGGTCCTGCCTCCCGCGAGGTCCACCGCGCCCGCCCCGCCCCGCCCCGCCCCGCCCCGCCCCCCCGCCCGGCGCCCAGCTCAAATTACCCGCGCCGCTGGTCCTCTTCCCGCCCCTGAGGCCCCAGAGGGGGTGGGGCGGGGACGCGGCCCCCGCGCTAGGTGGTCGCCGGTGGTGGGGGCGGTGCGTGGCGCGGGGAGGGGAGGGGGGAGGGGGCGGCGCGCCTTTTATAGCCGTGGTGAGCGGCCGGCCGGCCAGGAAGAGGGAGGGGTGGGGGTGGGGGAGGGGAGTTGACCCACTCATGACGAGAGCGGCACCCACTTCAGACTGCAGGCGGCGCCCGGGCTCCGCGACCGGCCGGCCCTCGCGCACCGAGAGGTGCTACGCGAGGAGGAGCTGCACTCGGCCTGAGAAGGGAGAGAGAGCCCCCCTTGCTGATACGCAAACCAGCCCCCCTCCCCGCGGGGCCCCGGGGCGAGAAGGGCTCCAGAAGCGGATGCATCCGTCATTCAATAGAGTCCTGCTGGTTTGCGTATCAGCACGTCACTTGCAGACATGGCGTAAGCACAGGTTGCCTGGAAGTTGCCGACAGACACTTGGATGCAGTGCCACGAGTACCTAGACTGATTCCGGACATCGTCACTCTGTCTCTCTCGCACCCACACAGGACTCGCCACGAGTGCGAGAGAGACAGAGCGACGACACCGCCGTGAGAGGCTGCTTGAATGCGGAACTTCGGCGGGCGCATTTTCGCCGCGCGTTCCAGTCTCCACTCCAGCGGGTGTCTCGTCGTGGACACTGTTCTCATCGCTCTGTCTCTGTCGCGCTCGAGGGGCGTGCCGTGGGAGTGCGAGAGAGACAGCGCGACGACAAACTGTGCGAGAGTGCAGTGCTAATTGGTGGGGTGGAGGAGGGCACGAGACAGGCGGCGCGCGGTGACCGCCAGGACGACGCGGACGACGCGGCCGACGACCCCGCTGTACCACAACACGGAGTGCGCGCGATCGTCGTCGCCCTGTCTCTCTCGCACTCGTGGAGCGCCTCGTCTGGGTGCGAGAGAGACAGACGCAGCGCGCGACCTCCACGGCCTCCGCCCTCGTCGTCGCCGCGCCACTCTCAAAACCGCGCAGAGCAAACACGCCGCGCCACGAAGGAACCTGCATGTCGTTCCGAAGCACACCCGAAAAAAAGGCGTTATCGAGGCACTCGCTAAAAAAAGTGGAATAAAACTCGGGATTTGAACCCAGAACTTGGCCGCTGGTCGCTGCGTGTGGGCAGGACGGCGACGGCTCGTCAAGCGGATTCGTTTCCATTCTTCGCCACTTGATAGAGAAGCACCCTGTCACTCAGCACCTCACAACGCCCCGCTCCGCCCCGCCCCGCCCCGCCCCGCCCCCCCGCCCCGCCCCGCCCCGCCCCGCCCCGCCCCGCCCCGCCCCCCCGCGCCACGCCCCGTCGCACCTCAGTCCACTCCACCGCCTCGCATCAGCATTTTATTTATAAAGCCGCCAGGAATGCAAACCTCCAAGTCCGACTGGTCCTCGGACTGGTCCGACTCCAAGCCAAGCCGTCGCGCCGCGTCGCGGCCCTCTCGGTGACGTCCACTTCGCGTCGCTTCACGGCGCTCGGCGTCCCGAGCAGGCCTGTAGCGCCGCCGGACGGGCGGGCGGGGGGCCCACCTGGGTCATGCCTGGGCCCACCCCGTCACCGGTGACGAGACCGCACTACTGAAAAAATGAATAATAATTGGAAACGAACACCTCGAATGGAAAGTGTTTGTCCGTCGCGGAGGGTTTAAAAAAAAAAATGATAAACACTGCACTGCACAGTGAGCCAGAAGACCGCTGGAGGCGGACACAATTCTAGACGCGTTTTGAGCTCCAGAGTCGCTAAATGGGACTCGAATCGAACGTGTGACCCCACCAATGGATTGCTCTCCGAACGAGCAATCCGTTGGTGGGGTCACACGTTCGGTTCGAGTCCCAATTGGCGACTCTGGAGCTCAAAACGCGTGTAGAGTTCCGGCCGCAGGCCCCGGTCTTCTGGCCCACTGTGCACCGCATCCTTCTGACTTGCGACTTTGTGTAAAAAGGACCGGGAGAGCCAGAAGCTTCGACAGTAAACGGTGACGACGACGGGGAGGTGCTTCTGGCAAGATGCACCGGCGCGGCGTGGCGCTGCGCACCGAGCCGAGCCCGCTAGCCGACGGCATCATCACCGCTGACCTGGCCAGGGAAAGTCCTGCTGCTGACTCGGGGAATATTTCTGGCACTCGGAGTCACTGACAGCACACCCGTTCCGAAAGGGGGGGATGTTGTTTCGTCGCTCTGTCTCCGTCGTACTCGCGGGGCGCGCCGTGAGGGGTGCGAGAGAGACAGAGCGCGACTCTTCGGAGTCGGTGACAGTGTGACGTACGCGGCGGTCGCCGTAAAGTAGCGAAGACGGCAGCGCGACCCGCCGTTGCAGCGCTGCACCTCGGACATGACTCGCAAAAAAATTTAAAAAGTAACAAAAATAACAAACTTTTTACAGTTGTTATGCCAATTGCTATAAGAGGGTTGTTGGTTGCGATCTTGGCCCCTTTCTGTCTTAGAAACGACGCCCTAACTCAAGCAGCTGTCGTAACAGAGCTTTACCACCACGGAAATAGTGTCACCGTCCACCGACCCTCCGGGAGTCGCTTTGGTCGCTCTGTCTCTCTCGCACCTATACGGGACGTCCCATGAGTGTGAGAGAGACAGAGCGACGCAAACGACCCTCGGAATCAGTCTGCTGTGCCACGGTCGAGGACCGGGGTTCGCTTCTCGGTCGCACCTCTTCCGAAAACTTGATCCGTGCTTTCTCTCATAGAACTGAAGTGCACTCTTTTACGCCTTTTTTCAAGCAGTCGCTACGCTTGGCTTCAAGCGAAGTATACTGCGTTCGGCTGGGAGGTGAAGGGGTGGGGGACACACGCGGGGACACAACAGACGCGTGTCTGTAAAGAAAACTTGAGTTTGCGCTCGACCTTGACGTCATTGTTAACAGTGTGAGTGTGACCATCCCCTTGGACATGGTGACTGCACCCCCACAATGACTCGCATTCTATTTCGATCCACTTTGTTTGTGCGACATCGTCACAGTGATGCTGGCGTGTGTGTGTGCGTGAGAGAGAGAGAGAGAGAGAGAGAGAGAGAGAGAGAGAGAGAGAGAGAGAGAGAGAGAGAGAGAGAGAGAGAGAGAGACCGTGTTCGTAGGTATGTGTCTAGTTGAGCGTGCGACAGGAAGCAATCTTACTTTCTACACGCTGCCCTTAGACTGGCTGCTTTTTACCCCGTTAAAAACTGGGTCACGGAATCAGTGGTGCGTCGGGCACAGGGGAACGACTCTAATAATAAATAAAACGGGACGACGGCGTCAGCGGCCCGTCCTGCGTCCTGCGCGCTTCCTGCTCGAGTACATCGTTGTGCAGGACGGCTTGGAGGCTTGCAGGCAGCGTGACCGCCACGCATAAACCTGTCGCACGCTCCGCTGCGGGCTGAGTCCGAACGCTGCTGTCGCCGCTCCGTCTCTCTCGCACTCGTGGGACGTCCGGTCGGGGTGCGAGAGAGACAGAGCGAAGAAAGCCCTGTTCGGAATCAGCCTCCGATCCCAACCACCCAACCCTCCCCCGCCGTGCCGCTCCCCGTCGCGGCCGTAGGGTGCCCACTTTGCCGGTGAAACCCAAACCCCCACATTCCTCCGGGGTAAGTCGCCGTGACCGCGACACTAGAGGCGGCGCCCGGCGAGGCGAGTCATCTGCGTTCGAGTCCACGCAGCGCCGCCATTTTTCAGAAAGTAGCTGAGACTTACTTGATAGGCCTAAGCAGGGATTAGGGATGGATCTTACGCCGGGGATTTATCGAATTTCGTCAATGTTTCTGCACGCTAAAGTATTTTGACATTTCTCACTACACAGTATACACGCCGAGGGGGGAAATCTTCCCACATTCGTTGTATACAAAATTTGACCACATTCCTCATTCAGGTGGCAAAACGCCTGTAAGGAGGCAACATGTGTGGTGAAAACGCCCGAAATCTTGCAATTCTTGCACATTCACTCAATCATTGTACACAAAATTTTACAGTGGGTCACCCCTCGATACACGCACGTTAACAAGGGCAGGGCAGAGAGTCTCGGTCACCGACGGGGTGCTCGACGAGGACGGCGGCCTCGTGTCGGAGGGACTCGGCTGGACTCGGCGCGGCGCGGCAAACTTCGCGGTTGTTTGGACCAATTTGAAGGCGTTTCGTTGTTGTTGTTGTTGTTGTTGTTGTTTTTCCGCGAGAATTCTCTGGAAAGTCCTGTCGGCAGAGTGCGGTGGGGCCGGCAGGGCCGCAAGCGGTGCCACTGGCCTGGATTCGCCGCCCTTCCTCGCAGTCTCCCTCCACCGCGTGGCGCCGCAGCGCCCCGCAGACTGATTCCGAGAGTCGTTTTCGTCGCTCTGTCTCTCTCGCACCTGTACGAGATGCACCATGAGTGCGAGAGGGGCGGAGCGACGGAAACGACTCTCGGAATGAGTCTGCTGCGGAGCGATTCCGAAGTGTTGTTGCGTCGCCGTGTCTCTCTCGCACCACTACGGGACGCCCCATGAGTGCGAGAGAGACAAGGGTGGCTCCTGGGGGACGCCCCATGAGTGCGAGAGAGATGGAGCGACCGCTCGGGATCGAGCTGCGGGCCGCCGTCGTGTTGCTTGACAGACGCACTTCGTATGATTCATTCCCGCGCGGCGCTACGCGGCGCTGGCCAGCGACCCCTGCCGGCCCTGCCTAGGCCCTGCCGGCCGACGGCAAGCAGCAGGTGAGGAAGGAGGCCGCGCCCCTTTCGTCGCTCTGTCTCTCTCGCACTCACGGCTGTCGCGTGCAGGTGCGAGAGAGACAGAGCGACGAGCACGACTCTCGGACTGGGACTAGGTAGGGTGGATTTACGCCGATTCCGAACAGTGTGCTTCGCCGCTCCGTCTCGCTCGCACCGCCACGCCACGCCCCATGAGTACGAGGGACAGAGACAGAGCGATGAAAGCGCCGTTCGGAATCAAAGGGCGGGGACCGCCACCGGTAAAATTAGGTGAATGCAGCGGGAACTCGAAAACGGAGGCGGCCAACGGGGATGGATGGCCGGCCGGTGAATCACAGCCTCTGAGCGGCCAGCAGACTGAGAGTCTTTTTCGTCGCTCTGTCTCTCTCGCACCTGTGCGGGACGTTCCATGAGCGCGAGGGAGACCAAGCGACGAAAACGACTCTCGGAATCAGTCAGCTGCACGCGCTTCCTCCTCGCGGACGGCCGCAGTGAGCAGCATTAACGTGATTAAATTTAAATGATAGCATTACCACTTAGCGGGGACCGCAAAGTGCCGCCGAGGTACTCCGAGGTAAAAATATGTAGAAAGAAACGAAAATATGGGTAGTTCGATTCGCATCTCGAATCGTATCGCAGTCTCTCAATATTTTGATCTATCTCATATAATTTTGTGAGGTACTTCGCTGGACATTTTGCGAGATCTCGTATCGACATTTTTCACGTATTTTGCGAGATCTTGTATTGAGATCACCGTGTCTCTCGCCTGAAGGTGTGCCGCCGGGGCCCTGGCTGCATCCGAATCGGCTAGCTCTGCCTCTCTAGAGCTTTGAAAGGAGCGAGAGAGAGAGAGAGAGAGAGAGAGAGAGAGAGAGAGAGAGAGAGAGAGAGAGAGAGAGAGAGAGAGAGAGAGAGAGAGAGCGTACGACGTCATTAACGGACGCTCCCTGACGTCGACGCGCACCTGAGCGCGCGTTGGGTCTCCTCGACACCCGTCCCATCCCCACGGCGGCCACCCTGCCACCCTTCCGAATCAAGTGGGGGCCGACCTGGTGCGAACCCGAGTAGCTAAGAGCGTGAGAGCGAAGGAAAGGGGGCCGGCTGCTTGCGGGGGCGGCGTGGCACCGGTGAGGGGGGAGGGGGGAGGGGGAGGGGGCCTGACGCGGCGACGAGCCCTCGCCGCCGCGCCGCGCCCCGGGCGTACCGAAATACCAAGGAGGCTGCGTGGACGGCGGCCCGCGGCCAGAGCGGCCGCGCACACACGAACGCAAAAGCGCCCGTGGGATCCTGCCCCCTCCCCCTCCCCCTTTCCGACCGGGGCGGTTCCGTGGTTCCGCGGGTCCGCGAGCCAGTCGGCGCGAGATTCTCAGCCGCGACCACCTCGATCGACACCGCACCCAGACCGGGCCGGACCGCTCCGTGAACGTGACTTTTTCCTGGGTCCCTACCCACCACTCGAAAAGAAAGACTCACAGTTCACCGACCCGCCCAAGATGGCCGGCATCACCAAGACCAGCAAGTACACATACAGGAGCACGGGCCACGGGGGTGGCGATGCCAACGTCAGCATCGAGTACTCCGCCGACCTCAGCGCGCTGACCCGGTTGGAGGTAAGCCTCGCCCTCGGCCTCGCCGCCTCGCCCCGCCGCGGAGGCCGTGTCCGCGGCCGTGTCCGCGGCCGCGTCCGAGCACCTCCGCGTCGACCGCCAGCGCCTCTGGATTACGTGCGCGCGGGCCGCCGCCAAGCAAGCCAGTGCAGCAAAGTGCAGCGAGTGACGCCGAGTGTGTGTTTTCAATGTGCAAAAAACAAAAAGGAAAATGGAAGCAAGTTTTTGGTTACCGCCAAAGTGGAAAGTGAAAGTGAACAGTGCGACGAGTGAGTGGGATTAACAGCGAGGCCTCGACGTGCACGGTGAGGTGTAGCAGCGCCCCGCACGCCCCGCCCTGGGCCCGCATCGGCATGCTAGGACCTCCGCCTGCAAGACCCCCGACACGACCCCGCCCCGGCACGCCGAGCACGCCGCACGCGAAGCAGCCAAGCAGCGCGAAGCCAGCGCGCGTGCGTGGGAACCAGCTGGGCAGGAGGAAAAAAAAAACAACAGCAAAATCTGTACTTTTCCAAACGAATTCGGTTAGATTTGTTTTTGATGCTCAGCCGTGTTGGGGCTCTCGAAGCGCGTCTCACGCAAGCTGGTACAGTGCAGCGCGTCAACGCGGCGTACGCAAAGGCCCAGAAATTTCATGTCGGCTTTTGTCTTTCCGAAGTACGCATTCGTTTGTTTGTTTCGCTCCCCATGCAACTCCGCGCAGGCCGGGCCGGGGCCTGGCCTACCCCAAGATGGCCCTGATGGCCCTGGAGGGGCGTTAGGTCCCTGCCTGCCCAGTCGCCGGGCACCTCGGGCAGCGGCGCCACGGCCAAAGCGCCGCCAGACCGCCAGCAGCCGGGGCGGGATCTAGATTTGGGGCTGGGCGTCGCCGGGATACGTTACAGCAGCGCGGAAGGCTCGCCCCCCTCCCCCTCCCCCTCCCCCATGCCGGCCTCCCCCTCCCCCCTCCCAGCACCGGCCGTTACAACCCCGCCTAGTGACTCACGGCTAGGCGGTGGGGGAAGGAATTCAAACCACAGAAAAACAAGCTGAAATTTTGTTATTTGTTTTACGCGGAAGTTGGTTTATTTTCTTTGTAGTTTTTGTCAGATTGCATACATTTGTAAAATAGGGTAAAACCTTTCTAGCTTTCAAATCACTGTTTTTAACTTTCAAATCGGTGTATCCGAAGGCCATGCCACGCAAAAGATTTCTTGTCGATGCGCCCGATTAAATGTTTGGATGATGTGCTACAGCGCAGGTGCAAAATCCTTTTCGTTCGCAAGCTACATGTAGCACCGGTGACAAGTCTTTTAGCTGCAGTCCTAAATTTTCTTTATTGATGTACCTGCGCGCGTTCAACTGGGGTTTGATTTGGAGTTTGTTTTGCATGTAATATGCTGTATGTCCTACCAGGTTTTTCTTTAAACCATTCCACGAGTGGAAGCGGAACCGTAGTGCATGCTCCTCTCGAACAATGCATTGCAAACAGTAAAAGTGTGTACCCAGCACACTCAAGTAATCTGTGTGTGTGGTGTGTGTACTCTGGACATATTGATGCTTTCTTCAGCACTGTCAAAAGTAAATTTGAACAGCCCGGAAAGTGTGGTCCGAAGCTGCGCTAGAAATAAAAAAAAAATCGATTTTCAAATTATTTTTTTGTGCTACCTGCTGGAAACTTGTTTACAATAAAAACATTGGTTTTGAATTTTACCTGAAAATCAGGGGCAATATTTCCGTTTCGGGAATCCGCAAGACTTGTTTTAACAGTGAGTGTTGAGTCTGCACTGTAAACGTGAGTGGTTCTGGAGACGCGTCACGGTTGGGGGCTGGAGGGGGCTGGCTGGGCCCCTGTGAAGTCGAGGGTAGGCAGTCCCGCCACGCTCGCGTGTCGCCGTGCGGCCTACCCTCACGGCGCTCCAGCGGCCGCGGTCCCGCACGGTAGAACCATCTCCTGGGAATTGACCAATGTTCCTACAAATAGCAGATTTTCCTGGAAATTGACCAATTTTCTTGAGAAACCCAGGAGATGGATTTACCGTGCGAGTGCGACCACTGTTCGGCTAAAAGCCCCGCGATGGACCAGTGTCTAAAGGGTTGCCAACCTCATCCTGTCACACAACATCTATCTAGGCTGTGCTCTCAGGAAGTGGCCTAAAAGATCGGCTGTGAGGTTGGCAACCTGTTCGATTCGACACTGGTGCGCCGCGCAAACTTTTGACTGGTCATGTGGCGACACTGGTCCGGACTGCAATACATTTGAGTTCATTTCCGCTGCTGTGAACATTAGGGGTGGATTCAATATTCAGTTGAAAAATGACTTGAAAATGGCGAACGGGAGGGCTGGCAGATTATGCGGTGTCCGAAAACAGCTGATTAAGTGCGTCCTTCTGTGTTGCAGGACAAAATCCGGCTCCTCCACGAGGACCTCGAGTCCGAACGCGAACTGAGGCAGAGGGTGAGTACAACGAATGATGTAGAAGCCAGGCTGTTTCGTAACGAAAAAAGAGATGTATAAAGAAAAAAACAAACGAAACGGCCTTTTTCTTTTTTTGTGTGAGTGAGTGAAAGTGTCACCAAGGTAGGCGGGACGAAGAATTTATCGCGTCGCGCGTGGGAGCGAGAGAGACGAGGAAGTGACCAGTGTGTGAGCCAGTGCGTGGGCCCGGGCCCGGCCCGGCGCGCCTCGCGGCCAGCGGCAGCCAGCGTCTCGGCTTGCCTTCGAGTGATTTCGTAATTTTAGAGCGGCGAGCCGACAGAGCGCGCTGCCGGCGCCGCGGTGGGCTCGCCCACTAAAACGGCAACTCGCGGACTAAAAAAACACCCAGACACCGGTGTATTGTGTCCGCAAGGGTGCATTTTCATCCACGATGGGCGTCGGAGGTTTACGCGTTTGGAGTGGAACAGCTGGTTCTTGTTCGCCCTGCAGGGATTGACTCTGAGCCGTCCTTCGTCGATCTTCGTCTCTCTCGCACTCATGAGCGTCCTGGCGGTGCGAGAGAGAGAGAGAGAGAGAGAGAGAGAGAGAGAGAGAGAGAGAGAGAGAGAGAGAGAGAGAGAGAGAGAGAGAGAGAGAGAGACAGCGACGCGAGCACTGTTTGGAGTCCGCCTGCTGCAAGGCCGTGCCGGGCGCACCAATCTCTAAGAAAACGGCCTGGCGATGCTCGTGCTGGTTTACACCAGAAAAATTAATTCGTTCCTTGAGCCAGGCTAATTTACTCGAAATAAGGGAAATTTCTTGAATGGTTCAAGCAAATTCACTTAATGAAAGTAAATTTTCTTGGTTCAATAAATGTGGTTTTGGCGTGCACTAGACCAGTGCATCGCACCTAAGACGATTCACGAGCCAGAGCTACTTACTGCTCTGCAAGAGCCCAAAGTCTCGGGCGAAGCGCACGGTAAAACCATCCCCTAAGAACTCCCAGGAGTCAATTCCCAGGAAAACCTCCTGAGATTCTTAGGGATATCGATCAATTCCTAGGAGATGGTTTTACCGTGCCGAGATTCAACCAGGAACAGTTTCCCGTGGGACGCGGCGGGCAAACGGGCGACGCGGGTCTTCCTCCCCCTGCCTCGCCCCTGCCTCGCCCCGCCACGCTTGTTGATGCAGGCACCAGCCCAAGCTAGCGAAGCCACGGCGTTGAGCTTGAGGAACGCGCCCCGCTAAAAATACTGGTCACTCTCTCGTCCGTTTCCCACTAGCTTTTCGATTCTCGTTCCGTTTTCCTCATGCGTGATAGTCCATTCCACTCACTGAAAGAAGTAAATTGAGAATTAACAGAGGTATATCTGAAGACAAAAAAAAAATACCGAAGGTCCCGGTGTAAATTTGCGAAGATTCTTCTGTACGAAAATATCGGTGGATTTACGAAGAGTCTTCGCGAATTTACGCCAGTTCACTCGGAAACATTTTTTCCAAGGAGCACCGTCGTAAATACCGGAGATTTATTGTTTACGGTGGTGTCGAGAATGCCACGACTGACTCGCCTTTTTGTCTTGCAGATTGAACGCGAGAAGGCTGACCTCTCCGTTCAAGTCATCTCCCTGTCAGAGCGTCTGGAAGAGGCTGAGTGCGGTGCCGAGGGACAGGTCCGTTGTGGCGCGGGTTCAAATCCTGCCGGTGGCAGGTTATTTTGCTCTTTTCTTGTTTTTTCTTTCTTCTGAAACCTAATAACATAGGCGTTTGGTCGCGCAGTTCGAGATTAACAAGAAACGCGACACAGAGCTCACCAAGCTCCGCAAACTTCTCGAAGATGTCCACATTGAGTCTGAGGAGACCGCTCACCTGCTTCGCAAGAAGCACCAGGAGTCAGTCGCCGACTTCCAAGACCAAATCGACGTCCTCACCAAGCAGAGGCAGAGGTGAGTCAACGTCACTCAAAAAATGCCTTATTGTACAGACTAAAATTTATGAGTTTTTCTCGTTGTTGTTAAACATTGACCGAAAAAGTACTACACAAATTACCATTCACAAAACCTACATGGTAATATATGGCAGTCTATCACACAACTAACGATCTTCTTTGTCCCACAGGATTGAAAAGGAAAAGAGCAAATTCCAAGCCGAAGTTTTCGAACTCATGTCACAGGTCGAGAACATCAACAAGGAGAGGGTAGGATTCAAACCAATGCCAATTCTTTTGAGATTGATCGTCTCGTTTCTGCACACACAAAATCCTTATACACTTTTTGTTTGTCAGTTACGCACTGTATTTTTCATATGTACAAATTTCTTCGTGCAAACAATTTTATGCAGTTTAGGTTATGCATGTGCAAGATAGTGCGTAACTTACGTACGAAAAGTGAACTGTAAAGTTAAGTGTGTACTTCGTCGTACACATATAGAGCACTAAAGTGTGTACTGAGAACACAAAACTGAGTACTGGGTACGAAAGTGTGTACGGAGTACGCACCAAGGTTTTCAGTGTGCATAAGGAATTGTTGTGTGTCCAAACGCGAAACCTAACCGTACCTAACCTAACTAAATCTAACCTAACAAAAAGCAACGCACTTCCGCAGATCGTTGTCGTCAAGCACTCCGAGAAGCTGGAGGTGACCATCCACGAGTTGAACATCCGCATCGAGGAGCTGAACCGCACCATCGTCGACATCACCTCGCACAAGACCCGCCTGTCCCAGGAGAACATCGAGCTCACCAAGGAGGTCCAGGACCTCAAGGTCAACATCGAGAACGCCACCTACCTCAAGAGCCAGCTCGCCGGCCAGCTCGAGGACGCCCGCCGCAGACTCGAAGACGACGAGAGGGTGAGCTGCAGTTTCTAGTTTGAGTTGATGTCGCGGGTGTCAAGTACACCAGTGTGCGTCTTTCTTCAAGCGTAGTGGCTGCTAAACTCTCTGTTCTCTCCCGCCTATCTAAATGCATTGGAGAATTCGTTATCTTCGCTTGACTTTGAGCGCAGTTCCTTGAGTGAATCGCACAACGAAGCATAGTGGGCTAGAAGACTGCACTGAGAATGAAAGAGTCATGATCATGACTAAAATTTTGGGTGGGGAATTCTTTATTACCCAAATTTGGGTCAGGAAATTTTCCTCGCCCAAATTCGGGTGAGGAAAGTTTCCTCATCCAAATTTGGGTCATAATACTATGGAGCTAGAGCTGATACACCCTTCCTCACCCAAAATTGGGCGAGGAAACATTCCTCGCCCAAATTTGGGTGAGAAAGTAAACCTCGCCCAAAATTGGGTATTGATCATGACTTTTTCATTCTCAGTGTGGTGGAGACGGCCAAAATTCTAGATGCGTTTTGAGCTCCTGAGTCGCTAAATGCGACTCCAACCGAGCGAGACCCCACCAATGGATACCTCGTGCGGAGAGCAATCTATTGGTGGGGTCGGGGTCACGTTCGGTTCGAGCGCCATTTAGCGACTCCGGGGCAAAACATCCCGTCCGGGACTTTGACTGTGGCCCACTGTGCTGCTTCGCTTCGGTTTTACCAGTGCAGTATTCATCATGCAAGCGGTCTGGGTTTGCATTCAAAAACCGAAGAAGATTGCTGATACAAACCTAAATTTTCAAAACTTTTTCTGTTTTCGATTTCCAGAGGCGCTCCATGCTGGAGGCTTCCCTCCACCAGGTCGAGGTCGAGCTGGAGTCCGTCCGCGTGCAGCTGGAGGAGGAGTCCGAGGCCCGCCTGGACCTGGAGAGGCAGCTCATCAAGGCCAACGGCGACGCCCAGGCCTGGAAGAGCAAGTACGAGACCGAGGCCGCCGCCCGCGCCGAGGAGGTCGAGGAGATCCGGTAAGTCTACCAAAACGGCGCAAACTTGCAAACAAAAACACGCTGTTCAAAAAATCTTGGAAATTTCCGGAGAACATCACTGTAAAGGAAGGTGTCACACATACAGTACTAAAGTGTGTAGTGAGAACAGTGATTTCTGAGTGCACACTTTGAGTACGAAAAAGTGCACTGAGTGCACACTAAAATTACCTCCGTTCTTCGAAAAATTGAGAGACCTCTGGAAATCCCCGAAGAAGCATCAAAACGCACTTTCGGGAATTTTCATTTTTTTTAAACAGTGAAAAAGCGGACAAACTGACCGATGACTATTTTTTCCCGTCCCTGCAGCCGCAAGTACACCGCCCGTCTCCAGGAGCAGGAGGAGCACATCGAGACCCTCATCGTGAAGGTCAACAACCTCGAGAAGCAGAAGTCCCGCCTGCAGTCCGAGGTCGAGGTCCTCATCATCGACCTCGAGAAGGCCAACAACACCGCCCGGGAGCTGCAGAAGCGCACCGAGCAGCTGGAGCGCATCAACATCGAGATCAAGTCGCGCCTGGACGAGACCACCGCCCTCTACGAGCAGTCCCAGCGCGACCTGCGCAACAAGGCCCAGGAGCTGCAGCGCACCGTGCACGAGCTGGACAAGACCCGCGAGCAGAAGGACGCCCTGAACCGCGAGAACAAGAAGCTGTCCGGTAAGCCGATCGACGATCAGCATTTGTGTGTGTCTGTGTGTGCGTGTGCGTATGTGTGTGTGTGTGTGTGTGTATGTGTGTGTGCACTGTAAAGTTGAGTGCGTGTACTCTAAATTCTTGTGGACTTTTTATCCATATCTATACATGCGAAAGTGAGAAAATTTGTTCATATAATAGGTACAATTTTAGAAAGACTTAAGTACAATATGGAAATATTGTCCCTAATTTACGTAGAAAATTGTACATAGCTTGCGTTTGTACAAATATGGTCATAATTATGGGCAATAAAAGTACATAAACATTTAATGTGTACTGAGTACACACATAGAACAGTAAAGTACAAACTTTGAGTACGAAAGTGTGTACTGAGTACTCACCAAGGTTTTCAGTGTGTAGGTGTAAGGTGAGGAAGAAAAGTACAGAGTAAGAAAAATGCACCCCCCTGAGTGATCCCACAGCAGCGGCATCTCGAAATCCAACAAGGATTTTGCACTCAAGTTTTCATGTTTGGTTGAAATAACTGGTCGAGAGATGGCTCAAAGACAAGGTTTCCACTCAAGAGTGCACTTCTCTTACCTCGTATACTGTTCTTCCCCAAACTAACCCACATGGCACGCCAGTGCAGTGGGTTGAAACGCCCGTTTGCGGAGCCAACCGAGCACCCCGTCGACGCGCGGGGTATCTCCGCCGCCACGCGCCACTGGGTCTGTGGCGCGGAGTATTCCCGACCTGATCCACCCCTGACCTGCCTTGCCCTGCCCCGCAGACGACCTCCACGAGTGCAAGGCCAACCTGACCGAGCTGACGCGCCGCCTGCACGAGCTGGAGATCGAGCTGCGCCGCCTGGAGAACGAGCGCGAGGAGCTCACCGCCGCCTACAAGGAGGCCGAGGCCGTAAGCAGACACTCCACCGCCCTGCATTCCGAGAGTCTCGCTCTGTCTCTCTCGCACCCATACGGGACGCTCCATGAGCGCGAGGAAGACAGAGCGACGAAAACGACTCTCGGAATCAGTCTGCTGGGGCTTTACACATTATAAGTGTGCTTCCTTTGCTGAGAGCGCCCTCGGCGTGCGGCTTGCAGGGCCGCAAGGCTGAGGAGCAGCGCAACCAGCGCCTGGTCGCCGACTTCAACCAGTTCCGCCACGACGCCGAGAAGCGCCTGTCCGAGAAGGACGAGGAGATCGAATGCATCCGGTGAGTCGAGTCGCCTCCGCGTTCCGCGGGCAAGGGCGGATCCAGAGAGGGGAGGGGGGTCGTAAAAATCACTTACTTTTTGCCCCACCTTCAGAGGGAGGCGCACAGTGAGCCAGAATGTCGGTGCAGGCAGCGAAAGCTCTACACGCATTTTGAGCTCCAGAGTCGTTAAACAGGACTCGAACCGAGCGTGTGACCCCACCAATAGATTCCTCGTTCGGAGAGCAATCCGTTGGTGGGGTCACACAGTTTGAGTCCCATTCAGCGACTCTGTAGATCAAAACGCGTCGTCCGGGATTTTGACCGCCTCCACCTGTCTTCTGGCCCACTGTGCGCTGTGGCTGTGGGCGTGGGGCTAAAATCAGCTGGTCCTCCGCGGGGTAGCGCCAGCGGGGCGGGGCGGAGAGGCAGGGGGTATCTTCGCGCTGGTACGCTCGGACAGACCCCTCGCGCTGGGCCGGCGGGAGCGCTGAGCGCCCGAGCAGCGGCAGGTAGGCAACGCGTTGCACTCTGCTGCCACGCTGCTGCCTACCTGCCGGGCGCCTCGGTCGTTCCAGTGCACCTGCGCTGGCTGCCTGGCTGCCTGGCTGCCTGGCTGCCCTGGGCTGCCCGGCCTGGCCGCCCCGGTGCGCCCCGGTGCGCCCCGCCCTCCGCATACATCACGCCTATCTCCGTCATCTCGGGCAAGCCCTCGGGTCCGGGCCGCCGCGCCGGCCGGGTCTCTAGGCGCGGGGTATCGCCGTCCGGTGTTCACTTGAGTCGTGGACGTCAACCTGGGCCTGGGCGTCAAGGTGGACGGCGAGGTGCCACGCGGCGCCGCGTCCCTGAGCGTCTATTTCTGGCGGGCTGGCCTAAAGGCTGGCCGGGCGCGGCGGCTAGGCGCGGCCCTAGTCCTCGTCCCGGCGGCAGACCGTTTCCGCAGAGTCTTTTCGTCGCTGTCTCTGTCGCACTCACGGGGCGCCCCGTAGGAGTGCGAGAGAGACAGACGTATCGGCTTGCCGAGGCGGGCAGGCCCTTGCAACGTGACGCCCGACGCTTCGCCCTGTCTCTCTCGCACCGGCAGGCAGGCCCTCACTACGTGACGCTTCGCCCTGTCTCTCTCGCACCGGCAGGCAGGCCCTCACTACGTGACGCTTCGCCCTGTCTCTCTCGCACCGGCAGGCAGGCCCTCACTACGTGACGCTTCGCCCTGTCTCTCTCGCACCGGCAGGCAGGCCCTCACTACGTGACGCTTCGCCCTGTCTCTCTCGCACCGGCAGGCAGCCTCACTACGTGACGCTTCGCCCTGTCTCTCTCGCACCGCAGGCGGCCTCACTACGTGACGCTTCGCCCTGTCTCTCTCGCACCGGCAGGCAGGCCCTCACTACGTGACGCTTCGCCCTGTCTCTCTCACACCGGAAGGCACGGCCGCCTCTCCCAAACAGGACGCGGTGGAGGTTGTCTTGTTCCCCGGTCGACCGACGGGCCGCTCGCGAGCTCGCGCGAAAAACAACCCTCCACAACAATGTAGATGTTTTGCCCGGGAGAGCAAAGCGGACAGTGTGGTGTCGCGTTGGACGCGGCGCTGGGCGTGACCCACACGACATGCAAGCATTGCGCCACCGCGTTGCCGCCTTTGCGGCAAAACACGGTGAAGCAGGGCGTGAATTGGCTGCTGGGTGAGAGGGGCAGGGGAGGGGTATGCAAGTCAAGTCACCCCGTATTTATAGCGGACCAGCCGAACAGAGTGAGATTATGACGCGTGCGCTTGCATCTACGCCGTGGAGGCCGACGTTGACGTTGGCCGAGCGCGCAGTGTCGTCGCCGACGGACGCCAAAGTTCCGGGTTCGAATACCGGCGCCGGCGCGTTCGAGTTCTCCCATCTGCCGAATGAGTTTCTTTTCCACCGGTCTGTACGATGACGGCGTGGTGCTAACCTCGCCCAAAGGCTGGCCGCTGGCCGGCGGGCAGGGCGGTAACGACGGACAATTGACCCAGATAGCATGCCCTTGTTGATGAGCCCGCTGGTCTCGGCGTCAGCCGCCGCGCAGCCCAGCTGACCACTGATTCCGAGAGTCGCTCTGTCTCTCTCGCGCTCATGGGGCGTTCCGTGCATGTGTGAGAGAGACAGAGCGACGAAAACGACTCTCGGTCTGCAGGCGCAGCCGCGCCAGCACACCGTACCGTACCGCATAACACTTGGCAGCGCGCGGGGCGTCCGGCGTGCCGTCCGCGTCCTGGCGTCCGTTCTGGCGTCCGTCTTGGCGTCCGCCAGACACGAGGCGGCCGCGTCACGTCTCGTCATCGAGGAGGGAGGCAGGGAAGCGCCAAGGTCCGCGATGAAAAAGCGCGCGCGATGAACGAACAATGCCGGCGCGCGCTTGGCCAGCTTGGCACCGGCAAGGTTGTCTCTGGCGCGGCGAGGCACGGCGAGGCGGAGCGGAGGGAGGCACACCCTCGCGTGAGCTACCCTGATAATTATACACACCAAGGCCGCAGGTACAGTCCCTTCTCAGTAACTTTGGGCGTGGGCGGCGCGGCCGCGCTCAAGAGGCGGCCCGATGGCCGAACAGGGGGCAGACTGCAGACTGATTCCGAGAGTCGTTTTCGTCGCTCTGTCTCTCTCGCGCTCGTGGGGCGTCCTGTGCAGGTGCGAGAGAGACGAGGCGACGGAAACGACTCGGAATCAGCCGGCAGGGCTGCAGGGCGGCGACAGCGGTGGAGAGGGTCAAGTGGCGGCCTTGGCGTGGTGCTTGGCTGCTTGGCACCTTCCGGGCCGTTCCGGGCGCCACCCTCGCCGCCCGGATCCTCCCCCTCCCCTCCCCCTCCCCTCCCCCGCCTCTCCGTTTATTCACCGCCGCCTTGGTTCGATTTTCGATTTTCCGACAGCGAGTCGCGCCTCCGGAGTCCTTATAGAGAGTCCGAGATAAGAGTGGATTGGATCGGGCGGCGGTGGCGACGGCGGCAGCGGTGCACAGTGGGTGAGAAGACCGGTGGAGGCGGCCAAAACTCAAGACGCGTTTTGAGCTACAGAGTAGGCCTCGAACCGAACGTGTGACCCCACCAATGAATTCCTCGTTCGGAGAGCAATCCATTGATGGGGTCACACGTTCGGTTCGAGTCCCATTTAGCGACTCTGTAGCTCAAAACGCGTTGAGAGTTTTGGCCGCCTCCACCGGTCTTCTGGTCCACTGTGCGGTGGCTCCACAGTCGAGCGAGTCCGCGGCCAGCAGTCCTCGCTCTGTCTCTCTCGCACCACTGCGTCACACCCCGTGAGTGCGAGAGAGACAGAGCGAGGGCTGCGGGGCCTCCACCTTGAGCCGGACAGGCGGGTCACCGTGTCGCACGCCACTCCATGACGGGCACGGCCGCCGTGTCCTGCTCGAGTGCGGCCAGACTGATTCCGAGAGTCGTTTTCGTCGCCCTGTCTCTCTCGCACTCATGGGGCATCCTGCATGGGTGTGAGAGAGACAGAGCGACGGGCCTGCACTGGCAGGGGCAGTCAGTGGCCGGAGTGGGTCGATCAGGAGCGATTAGCTCATCACAGGAATCCAGCGAGAGCGACAGGATAAGGGAGATGGGGGCGAGATAGTCGTACCGACAGAGCATGAAAACCAAACAGTATAAGGCTGCGCAAAAGACCCTACATGGTTCCTGCCTTTGGTTCCCAACAGCGGCCTCGACGCTCTGTCTCTCTCGCACTCATGGTGGGGCCCGTGTGGGTGCGAGAGAGACAGAGAGACGACGGCGCTGTCCGGAGTCAAGCCGCTGCTTAGGGGCGGAACGGACCGCCCCGCGCGCACTAATGCGATTACGCCGCCCACTACACGTGCGGAACTGATTCGGACTCGAGCATTAGTCAAAGTCGCAAAGGGGTGTGCCAGCGTAGGCAACGCACGCACGTCGCGCCGCGCGGCCTCCTCCTGGATTGGCAGGGCCGGGCAGGGCAGTGTAGTCGCGCGGTGCGGCCTCCTGGATTTGCAGGGCAGTGTAGTCGCGCCGCGCGGCCTCCTCCTGGACTTGCAGGGCAGTGTGGTCGCGCGGTGCGGCCTCCTGGATTTGCAGGGCAGTGTAGTCGCGCCGCGCGGCCTCCTCCTGGACTTGCAGGGCAGTGTAGTCGCGCCGCGCGGCCTCCTCCTGGATTGGCAGGGCCGGGCAGGGCAGTATAGTCGCGCGGTGCGGCCTCCTGGATTTGCAGGGCAGTGTAGTCGCGCCGCGCGGCCTCCTTCTGGACTTGCAGGGCAGTGTAGTCGAGTGTAGTCGCACCGTCTCTTTGAAGGGCCGGCGTGCCGCGTGCCGCCATTCGTCAGAGCGACGTGCACGACGTGCGATTGATTCTCGACAGAAGCCAGATGTGTGTCTCGGCGGCAGCGGGGGTGGGGGCGGCTGTGTGTTGCGGGGAAGGGGGCCGCAGCGGTGCCTCGGGCTGTGTCGGGCTGTGGTGGCCTCAGGTGGCCGCGGGTTGGGGCAGGTCACCGGCGCGCTGCCAGGTGCCTCCTCAGCCCTGCAGCACCCCGACGAGTCCCCTGCCGGCCACTGCGCGCCCCGCTGCCCTCTGGCCTCGCAGTGATAGCGCCAATGGCCACAATGCCCGTTTGGGTTTCTAAAAATAGGGCGCAATGCCGATACTTCCATTAAACGAATGGCGGCGGTGGCCCTGGACGGGTCATGGCGTCTGCGCGGCCACGACGCCGAGGCCACGGCGTCCCCCAGGACCCCACCCTGGCCGGCACCCTGGCCGGCACCCTGGCCGGCACCCTGGCGCCCTGGGATGCCGCCATGCCGCCGACCGCCAGTCGATCGCTGACCGAACGAACCGCGAGTCGTGCGCCCCCGGGATCCGAACCCCGAACCCGAACCCCCGAGGCCGCCGACGCCGGAACCGGAAACGAAGACGACAACGAACCCGACGAACCCTCACCATGCGGGACCGTAAGAACGACAAGAAGAAGAAGAGGCACCCGAACCTGCCGAGCAAGAACAACCCGGCCACCAAGTACTACGACCCGACGGACGACCACGGCATCAAGGCGTACTTCCCGACGCCGGACTACTCCGCCGTGGAGCGCGACATCCAGCTCCGGGAGCACCCGCCATGGCGGTACAGGCCCATCAGTGTGTCCGACCCCACCTGCCTCCGCCGCAAGGCCGAGGCGGAGCGCCGCGTTCGGGACCGCGTCGGGTGGACTCGGGCGGACCAGCTGGCGGTGCAGCGTTCGGTGGGGGTCGCCAGCCTGCTCAACGCCAACCTCCACGCCGCCCCGCGCCGCCCCGGCACCCACCCCGCGGTCTGGGCCTACCCGGCTGACCAGGACGCGGACACCAGTCTCGGACGCGACCTGCACCGCATCTCGGAGGAGCTCGACGTTGACGTCGCCGCCCAAGCCGTCGCCGCCGTCGCCGCCGTCGCCGCGGACGCCGCCGAGAGGAGAAAGTGGCAGCAGGAGCGGGCCGCGAGGAGAGCGGCCGAAGAGGCAGCCCTCAAGAAGGCCATCCAGATCAGGCTCCAGGCCGACCGGTCTCCGCCGCGTGAAGAACAGCTCCCCGACGACGCCATGCCCACCAACGAGTACCAGGGCAAGTCGGCCCGCGCCATCGCCGGCAAGCTCATGATGGAGAGCGTGAGGAACCTGTGCCTGGACCGGTCCGCGTCGGCCCTGGGCCTGGACCGCGGCGACCGCGGCCTGCTAGAGCAGCGCGCCGCCCTGGACCGCGATGCGGCCCTGTCGTCGTGCTGCAGGCGCGTCGAGACGGACGAGGAGCAGGTGGTGACCACCGTCACCACGCTGGCCGAGGAGCGCAACATCACGCAGTCGCTGGACACGCTCAAGAGGGACATCCGCGGCATCCAGGCCAAGTCCCACGAGTTCCTCGAGGGCACCAGGTGCAGTGCGTAGCGGGGCGGGGCGGGCAAAGTCACCCCGCAGGGGGTGGCACGGTGGCGGCCGCGGAAAGGCGCGAGTGCGAGTGAGATGGAGAGCTGGGTTCGGTGGTTATGCGATTCGATGGCGACGGCCTGTACGGGCAACAGCTTGCTTACGAGCAGCAGTGCGTCTGTCCCTCACCCACCCCTGCGGGACGCCCCGTGAGTGCGAGAGAGACAGAGCGACGAAAACGCTATTTGGAGGCAAAGAGCAGGGTCGCAGCACGGCACCGCCTTTGCGAGTCGAAACGCTGTGAGCGCGACACCGGGCCTGGCGGCTCCACAGGCAGCACGCTCCCGTTTATTTACAGAGCGATATTAGCACTGCTGGGCGGGCTTTCGGTGCTTTCGGTGCTTTCGGTTCCCGGGCCTTCGGGCTTTCAGGCTCTGGGGGAAACGAAGCAAGTGTCATTACATTGGCCGCCGCCGCGCTGCCAAGCTGGCACTTCCCCCGCGGGCCGATTCCGAAGGAAGGTCTCGTCGCTCTGTCTCTCTCGCACCCACACGGGCGGCCTTGAGTGCGAGAGAGACAGAGAGAGACCACGATGGCGGTACGGCTCCACGGTCCTGGGCGCTGCCAACGTCGCCGCCAGAGAGTCTCATTGTCCCCCAAGCCTCGCGCGTGCCCCTTCGTTAATTTTATTTTTCGGCTCGGCAATGTCGTGACGCGAAAAGCGTTTAAAAGTCGAGGCGCTTTCGTGCCGCTGTTTGGCAATGCTGTCGCGGCGCTTGGCCGGAACCCGGAAGCGAATCGCCAAGCGCAAAGCGCGGCAAAGCGCCACTCAGATCGATGTCCGCCAAGCGCGGCAAAGCGCGGCAAAGCGACTAACCATAATGATGGCGGATCAACAGATTCCTTATCGCCGCGCTCGCTTCGCAGCGCTTCGCCGTGTTCCTGGCAGGCCGACTCCGCGCTGTTTCCTTCGTCGCTCTGTCTCTCTCGCGCACCCCTACGGGACGCCCCATGAGTGCGAGAGAGGCAGAGCGACGAAAACGACTCCCGGAATCGGAATGAGGACCGACGCGAGCGCAGTCATTACTTTCCGTGTACTGAGCGAATGCGGACAGGGCGCACCCCGCACCCCCTTCCCGCTGGACTTCCCCCGTTCAACGTTCGGCGAGTGGTTTTCCCGGGTTTTCCGCCCGCAACGTGTTGTCTCGCTCGCTCTCACAGGCGGTCTGTCCACCATAAGGGGCGACTGGACAAGGACGGAGCTGTGAAACAGCGTCGCGGTCGCCTGCTGCCGGTGCTAGCGCATCCTGGAGGACTCTTAGGGGAGAGGTGGCGACTCATTCTGAGGCTTCGGCAATGTAGGATGATTCTGAACAGCCTCTCTCGCATCCCAAACGGAATCCTCCAAAAGTGTGAGAGAGAGACAGAGCGACGAAATTTCTGTTCGGAACCAGCCTGCTAAACCATCGTATAATTTAGCGCTCGCTCAGCTGAGACGCATCCAATGAGAGCGCACTGACGTCACCGACCTGTCGACTCTCTCCCTTCGAGGCTCTCTAGCACAGCCCGGCCAGCCTCAAGCTCGCCGAGCCTTTAGCCCTCGTGCCCTTATTACCTGCTGCACTTTTAGATTGTTGCTCTATTTTTGTCATTGCCGAGGTACAGTGGCGGCGCGCGGCGCTACGCGGCGCCTCGCGTGTTGCTTGCGGCCACCGCCGCCAGGAGGCGCCACCGGGGGCGTATTGTGACCTGCTGCTGCAGACTGGTGCCGAGAGTCGTCCTCGTCGCTCTGTCTCCCTCGCACCGAAACGGGGCGCCCCGTAAGCGCAAGGGAGACAGAGCGACGAGAACGACTCTCGGAATCAGTGTGCTGCGCCAACAGAAAGGGGCGGAGAGGGGTGGGGAGGGCAGGCAGGGTGGTCGCGTGCGGCGGGAAGCCATCAGGAAACGTCTGTCAGACATATGCAAAAAAAAATATTCCTCTGCGCATTTGTTTTCGATTCTAATCGTCGTCGTCGTTCTGTGACGTTTGGTATCGGTGCCATGTTTCGCGAGGTAATTAGTGCCCACTGGGATGGACGGGGACTGTCGCGAGTTTGGACTGGGCACCGGGAGGGAGTTAAAGACAGGTTTTGAGTCAAAAAGTGACGTCAAGTTCACTTAAAGTGACGTCAAGTTAACTCAAAGTGACGTCAAGTTAACCTAAATTGACGTCAAGCTAACTCAAAGTGACGTAAAAGGACTCGAAAGTGGCCTGTGTCCCTCTTGGGAGCCAGCGGCGGATCTCTAGAGCCGGCTGGAGGAGAGGAAAACAGTGGCCTTCTTTTGCTCACTGACAGGGTCAAAGTTTTGCTTTTTGCCTACCTTGAAGGTGGCTAAATAGGGCCCAAAAAGAGGGGAAGGAGTCGTCCTTTTGCACCCCCACTGGATCCGCGCCTGCAGTTCCCAGCGTGTTGACCGATCCTTCCCCGCCTGTTGCAGCAAGCAGACCGCCATCGAGATCGAGCAGCTCAACGCCCGCGTCGTGGAGGCCGAGACCAAGCTCAAGACCGAGGTGACCCGCATCAAGAAGAAGATGCAGATGACCATCACCGAGCTGGAGATGTCCCTGGACGTCGCCAACAGGAACAACCTCGAGCTCCAGAAGACCATCAAGAAGCAGTCCATCCAGCTCACCGTAAGCAGCCCCCACACTGTATCCGCACCTATTGTGGACGCACAGTCGGCCAGAAGACCGGTGGAGCTGGTCAAAATCTCGGACGCATTTTGAGCTCTAGAGTCGCTAAATGGGACTCGAACCGAACGTGTGACCCCACCTATGGATTCCTTGTTCGAAGAGCAATCCATTGATGGGGTCGAACGCTCGGTTCGAGTCCCGTTTAGCGACTCTGGAGCTCAAAACGCGTCGAGAGTTGTGGCCGCCTCCACCGGTCTTCTGGCAAACCCACTGTGGGGCGGTGCCTAATGCTCCCCACGCGTGTGCCCCACAGGAGCTCCAGGCTCACTACGACGAGACCCAGAGGCAGCTGGCCGTGACCCTGGACCAGTACGGCATCGCCCAGCGCCGCCTGCAGTCCCTGACCTCCGAGCTGGAGGAGGTGCGCGGCAACTACGAGCAGGCCCTGCGCTCCAAGCGCACCGCCGAGCAGATGTACGAGGAGGCCCAGAGCAGGATCAACGAGCTCACCACCATCAACGTCAACCTGGCCGCCTCCCGCTCCAAGCTGGAGCAGGAGCTGGGCACCCTGGCCGGCGACTACGAGGAGGTCACCAAGGAGCTCAAGGTGAGGAGAGCAGAGCGCTCTGCGCGCCACACACCCAAAAAAAAATGTTTTCTTGATTTTTGATTTTCTTGGTTTTTGTAAGAAAAATAATCTTGACACAAGAAAAATTTTCTTTATTCAAGAAAAAAAATGGATTAAGAAAAATTTTCTTGCAAAAACCAAGAAAAGTTAAATTTTTCTTGATTCAAGAAGTCATTTTTTTTGGGTGCACAAAAAGAAATCTCTGTTGTGGTTGTCAACTCTGTTTGATAGGCTGAATTGGAGAACTATAATAGAAAATCCGATACCTGCCACTGAAAGCTGGTTGCTATACGACCGGGCACCTGTTCGATGACAACAAACCCCAGTTGAGTTAGTTGTCGTCTTAGAAGTGTACCCGGGCTGCCACTGCTTTTGATTGTGGATACAAGATTTTCGATTGCAGCTTTCCAATTCAGACCGTCAAACAAAGGCAATGACCACAAAAGAGTTATTTTTTTTCGGGCGCCAAGGGCATAAGACTATGGGATTGCTTTCGGACACTTTTAGCGCGGTGGTTTTGAAACGGGTCCATGTTGCAGATCTCCGACGAGAGGTACCAACGCGTGCAGGTCGAGCTCAAGCACGTCGTGGAGACCCTCCACGAGGAGCAGGAGCGCGTCATCAAGATCGAGACCATCAAGAAGTCCCTGGAGATCGAAGTCAAGAACCTGTCCGTGCGCCTGGAGGAGGTCGAGGCCAACGCCATCGTGGGCGGCAAGCGCATCATCAGCAAGCTGGAAGCCAGGGTGCGTATACTGTTAAAAAGCGATTTTTAGCAGTGTATAAAGTGTATCTAGCGGCGGATCCAGAGTCGGCCTGAGGGAGCGTCAAAGTGCACTTTTTGCCCACTTACAGGGGCAATATGGCGCTTTTTGCCGACTTACACGGGCAAAGTGGTACTTTTTGCCTGCTTACAAGGGCGTGTGACACTTTTGCCATATTACAGGGGCAAAGTGGCACTTTTTGGTCTACTTACTGAGACACAGAGGCATTTTTTGCCTACTTTCAGGGCCAAAGTGGCACTTTTTGCCTACTTTTAAGGACAAAGTGGCACTTTTTGCCTGCTTACAGGGGCAAAGTGGCATTTTTTCCCTCTTACAGGGACAAAGTATAGCGTTTTGCCCACCTTACAGGCGGCTATTTGGAGGCCAAGAGACGGTGGGAAAGGGGGGGGGGAAGCCGTGCTTGCAGTCCATACTGTGTGTACGGTGTAAACAGGGTATACACGCTGTACACACAAAGCCAAAAGTTATTCTTTCCTGTTTTGACTGACCTCTCCTCGCTGCGCTCGCTGCAGATGCGCGACCTGGAGCTGGAGCTGGACGAGGAGAAGAGGCGCCACGCCGAGACCATCAAGATCCTGCGCAAGAAGGAACGCCACGTCAAGGAGGTCATGATCCAGAGCGAGGAGGACCAGAAGAACGTGGCCCTGCTGCAGGAGATGCTCGACAAGACGACGCAGAAGGTCAACATTTACAAGCGACAGCTGAACGAACAGGTGCGTGGTGTGGATATCACAGGTGTTGTCGCCGACACGGTGAGTAGACTGATTCCGAGAGTCGTTTTCGTCGCTCTGTCTCTCCCGCTGCTATGGGGCGCTCCACGAGTTGGAGAGAGACAGAAGTGCGGCTCTCGGAATCAGTCTCCTGGCGTGCATGTCTCTGCTCGACCGCAACAAACCAATGTGTTGTGCTCGTCAAAAAAATTCGAGAAGTGCATTCCGAGGCTTTTTTGGAAATTGTGGGAAGCTTCGTGTTTCGAAAAGATTTTTCTGTTACCTGCGGAAAACTCACTCAAACTAAAAACATAGGAGGGTTCGGAATTTTTCGAAGTTCGGAGTCAATTGTGCACGCAGTGGGCTAGAAGCTCGTTGGAGGCGGCCAAATCTCTAGATTTGAGTTTTGCGTTTTGCGCTCCAGAGCCGCTAAATGGGACTTGAACCGAACGTGTGACCCCATCAATGGATTCCTCGTTGGAAGAGCAATCCATTGATGGGGTCACACGTTCGGTTCCAGTCCCATTAAGCGACTCTGGAGCTCAAAACGGGTCAAGAGTTTTGGCCGCCCCCACCGGTCTTCTGGCCCACTGTGCAGTGGTTTTGCGTGTGCCCTACCCTAATTAACCGCCCCGCCCCGTTCCCGCGTTGCAGGAGGGCATGTCGCAGCAGTCGGTGACCCGGGTCCGCCGCTTCCAGCGCGAGCTCGAGGCCGCCGAGGACCGCGCCGAGAACGCCGAGAGCAACCTGTCCCTGATCCGCGCCAAGCACCGCACCTTCGTGACCACCTCCACCGTCCCCGGCTCCCAGGTGTACATGGTGCAGGAGACCAGAAGCTCATCCGAGGCCTTCTAAGTTTTGAACGCGGATGAAGGAATAAAGGGAACAGGAGCGCGGTGACCAGAAACAAACAAAACACGCGTTATTTTTCTTGACTATTTTCATCGTGACGTTTTTAATTTTATTTAAGAGAGGAGTGTCCGCGCGGCCGAACGATCTCTTGTCTGACAGTTCGAAATTCCATCACAACTATTTCAAACACTCTCTCGGTTTCTTTTTTGACTTTTTCTTTTTTTAAGAAATAAACACCCTTTACACCACAGACGACATACTTGGGGTCCGCCATGTCGCGAGGATGTGTAACACTGTATAAAGAAAACAATGTTTATTGTGCAAACTGAATGTTTCGCTTTCGACATAATACCCATGGCATTGTTGTTTTTATTTCGCTTTTGGGGACGACACTGGAGGGAGCTTGTATTGCATTTAGTAGTGGTGACACGGACCTGGTGGATTGAGAAAGCAGCGAATGCAGGGAATCTACCCGGCTCCCACCCCACTGCTGGGAGGGGGTGGGGACCAGCAGATTCCAACAAACCGTCACTCACGACTCACGCGACGAAAATAAACAAAAACAAAAACACACAGGGGGGAAAATTACAAGCTGGAAAACAAAGTGGAGGAGACTGACAAACTAAATGACAAATTTATAAATGGAATATTTCGTAAGTGCGATACAGTCCAATGATATTTTTTTCTTCATTGACTGGTCTGTTGGTAAAGTTTATGTAAGATTAATAATATGAGGAGGTTCGAGAAACTGTCTCGAAAGCAGCTGTCTTTATATGTGATTATTCTGATAAACCTGAAATAAAGTTTGCTAACAACTCACGTTGTGTTCATGTAGAAGCCTTGCAGCCTACACCCACCAATCCTGGAGGACCGTCGTGTTCCGTCAGATTTTTATCACTATTTCAAATCGAAAATTCGGACTTGAGATGAATTTAACAAATATTAGGCGCCTCTTGCTCTCGATTTACAGAAAAGTTAAAAGTAGTGACTTTCCTCAAAACTCCACCAGGCCTGTCCTCCCGAAAGAAAGCAAAGTAGTAGCACCTGTTAAGGACCACGAACTGCTCAAGGACACAAAAAAGTAGGGTAAAGTGCCGAACATGGATAATCGTTCCAAACATGAACCACTGTCTATTTTGAACAAACTGGACATCTTATTTTTTTAAGGCTCTATTGGTTATCCTACTCAGTTATCTTCATTCTTCAGACAACATATTTGGTTTTAAAATAGAATGTATGGAAATAAAAGCCCGTGTGGTGATCTGTGACTGGCACGTTTGCCCTTACGTAAGAGAACAATTAGGCTCATCCACGGTGGGATCGCTGGTCAATGGTACTGCAGGGGAGAGAGAGAGAGAGAGAGAGAGAGAGAGAGAGAGAGAGAGAGAGAGAGAGAGAGAGAGAGAGAGCACAGGGGCAGCGTAGGCCACCCGCCTCGCAGCGGGGTGTCGCGGGAGCGGTGGGTGGCCTACCCCGCAGGCGCTAAAGCACCTCCAATCTTGACTAACCCAGCGCTCGCCTGACCTTCTATAGCGCATGCCTGCCACTTACTACTCGACCGGTTGCCGCGGTCTCGCAGCCGCAACCGGGGCAGGGCCGTCAACTCCCAAGACCGCAACACTCCACCGTCGGCGCCGCGCAAGCTGCCCCACCTTGGGGTCAATGGCCCTCCTCAGCGCGCTGCGGTGGCCAAAGGAGTACCGATCGAAGATACTCCGGAGCGGGTATACAATGGCTTCGCCGCCTCACCGCGCTACGCTGTACCAAAGTACGTCTTTTTTTGGGTGTGATGAACTTTCTGCATTATCTCTTCCACGAAGAGCGTTTATGAAAACGCGTCGCACCCAAACAAGGGGTTTCTTGAACCAATTGGCGTATCAAACATCAGCGGTGCACTTCAAAGGTGCGAAACCTTACGCTTTAGCTCTACCTGTGCAGATACTTTGTTTGAAATTGTGAAACATTCAAGTATAAATAAAGTCTCAGTTCAAGATACGAGTTTTTTAAGGTTACAGGTCAGGGGACGACCTTGCCCGAGTTCCAATCACTTGAAGAAAATATGCTTCATAACACGGTCAAGTACTGCACTTGCCGTATGCATGTCCGCAGCTTGATCACGAGAGGGCGCTCTGTTGCTGCCTCTCTCGCACTCATGGCGCGTCCCGCATGGGTGCGAGAGATACAGAGCGACGAAAGCGATTCCCGGAATCAGGGTGCCACGGTGTGGTGGGTGATTCAGTCCAGTCCATTGAGCGCCGCGTGGGCCTATCAGAGTCCCGGTGCAGGGCGGGGGAAGCAAGCAGCTACTTGGGGCGACACTGAATCACCAGGAGACTTTCTGAGAGTCGCTTTTCGTCGCCCCGTCTCTCTCGCACCCGCGCGGCGACTTACGTAAGGGTGTGAGGGAGACGGGGCGATGACAACGACTTTGGGAATCATTCTGCCGGTATGTACTTCGATATGTTGGCGGACACTGCCTGGCGCCCGGACACCCACCCCGCCCCGCTCCGCCCCGCCCCGCCCCGCCGCGCCTCGCGGCACTCCCCTCCCCCCTCGCCGTGGTCGGCGCGGTAGGCGCGGTGGCGTGGTGGGGGCCTAGCCGGCCGAGCCGCCGCGCCACGCCCGCCGCAACGGGAACGCGGCGGCGGGGCGGCGGCGCGGAGGGCGGTAGCGTGGCGGCGGCGGCAGTCAGAGTCTCGCCGCCGCCGCGGCCCGCTGCAGGCACTAGGCAGAGCGGCCGGCCCCTCGCGCTCACGTGCTCCGCGTGCTCGCCCGACCGGTCCCCAAGCACGCTGCCGTCGACGCCGCGCGGCCCGCGCTCCAGGACGCCGTCGAGTCCGGCAGCCAGGACGACGGCGAGGACCCCGACATGCCTTGGGCGGACGCCGCGCTCGCCGCCGTAACGCTGCCGCACCACCGACCCAGACCGCCCAGCGCGCCGAGCACGCCGAGCACGGCGACGAGTACCCGCGGCAGCCACCCAGGTGTGTGTGAGTCCGAGAGAGACAGCGAACGAGTGTGTGCACCTGAAAAGGATGAAGGTTGTTGCCACACCGTAATCTTTCTCGGAAGGGCCTGCCGTGCCGTTTGAGAGTGGATTACACGTGTCACGCGTATGCTAGGCAAGTGACGTGAGTAGGTCAATCAGGATCTGCCCCGTCAGACGTCTCATTCCGAGAGTCGTTTTCGTCGCTCTGTCTCTGTCGCACTCATGGGTCGTCCCGGTGGGTGCGAGAGAGACAGAGCGACGGAAGGGACTCTCGGAATCAATGCGCCGCTTCAGCTGGCTTCCGGTGCGGACCCTGGTCCTGCTCACCGTTGCCCACGTCAGCAGTACCGCCGTGCCGCTGGGTGTAGTATTCTAGTGTGTCAGACAGTTGCACGAACACCGGCACTTACCTCGCGACATGGGACACTTCGCGGCCAAGCGGCAGCTGGCCGAGTGAATCAGAAGATTCGTTTCGTCGCTCTGTCTCTCTCGCTCTCGTAGGGCACTCCACTGGTGTGCAAGAGAGACAGTGCGACAAACCGCTCTTCGCCCGGCGACTCGAAACATGTGACGGTGCTCGGCCAGTAGCGCACTGTTTCCCAATGGTCGCTTCGTCGCTGTCTCTGTCGCGCGCGGCGCTGCGCAGGGGGCCGTGAGAGAGACAGCGAAGAAACGGCTTTTCGGAATCGCTCGCTCGGCAGGTACCCGCGACGTCGCATGACATGGCAAGCAGCGACCCGCCCATCTGCGGACTGATTCCGAGAGTCGTTGTCGTCGCTCTGTCTCTCTCGCACCTGTACGGGACGCCCCATGAGTGCGAGAGAGACAGCGACGAAAACGACTCTCGGTCGGCTGGAGGGGCCTGCCGCCCAGTGGCGCCAAGGCCGTTTGCCGGGCATCCCGGCACGTCCTATCAGCATGCATAGCACCGGCCCGCTCTCATTGGCTGGCTGCGCTCTCACAGTGTAGCCGCTGCAGCCCGCAGGAGGCGAGCAAGTGTAACGTGCACTGTCACCTGAACTCCGAAGTCCTGGTCGAACGACAAGGCGACTAGCAGCGGGGGGTCTCGGGGTCACGCACGCTTGAGGCAAGACTTCAGAGCAGACCGATTCCGAGAGTCGTTTCCATGGCTCCTTCTCTCTTGCACTCATGGAGGCGTTAGCGTGCAAGCGAGAGACAGAGCGACGAAACAACTCTCAGAATCGGTCTGCTGATTCTGCCTAACGTTTAGTCGATCCGTTTGAGGAGAGATCTGTCCCATCATCGTGGTACAGTATTTGATTTTAAATCATGCGTCGCCCTGTCTCACTTGCACGCAAACGGTATAGGGCTCTAGGGCTCTAATCAAAAGCAGGCACACTCTTAAAACCGTACGAAGTATTTTGAGCATACATATAACAAACTAAAATACTTTCTTGTACGAAGAAATAGTTCGCAAATTACGAAGTATTTTCTTTGTAAGCTTACGTATGCTCAAAATACTTTGTTATACAAACTACTTTTCTTTGTACGGCCCAAGATAGTTTGTAAGGTTTTCTCAGTGCAGCTCCTTTTTCGCTTTGTCGCACTCGTGGGCGTTGTGGTCGCGGTCCATCCTCGTTCTGGATCAAGGAGGGGAATTCCGCGAACGTGTCCTTGCCGAGCGATGGCCGCGCCGGCTGAGCCTTGCTTGATGAGGCTTCGGCCGGGCATCGCCACCCAGCGCGCACACGGACGGACACGTACGTGCATACACCCTTCACCTCCCTCCCTCCCTCCCTCCCTCTCCCCCCCCCCCCCCCCCCACACACACACCTACTCATGCGCGCGCAGGCCACGTCCATCGCGTCGCTCATGCAAGATTTCATATCTGCCGTCGATAGGGATCCACGTTGAGCGGCGCGGGCCTTCGCGCATCGCCCTGCCCTGCCTGGCCCTGCCTGGCGCACAGTGGGCCAGAGGACCGGTGGAGGCGGCCAAAACTCTAGGCGCGTTTTGAGCTCCAGAGTCGCTAGATGGGACTCGACTCGAACCGAACGCGTGACCCCACAATGGATTGCTTTCCGAACGAGGAATCCATTGGTGCGCCACGTTCGGTTCGCGTCCCACTTAGCGACTGTGGAGCTCCCGCTTACCGCTCTCGTCGCTCCGTCTCTCTCGCGCCTGCAGGGGTCGCCCCGTCGCCCCACGAGTCCGAGAGAGACAGAGCGACGAAAACGACCCTCGGAATCAGTCTGCTGGACGGGGCGGGCCGCGGGTCACACCTGCATAGCGGGGCGGCCCTTGCACTTGACTCGTGCCCCTCCGTGCCGCGCCGCGCCGTGCCGTGCCGTGCCGCGCCGCGCCGTGCCGTGCCGTGCCGCATACTGCAACACGGCGCCATCGATCCGGCCAGAGAAAGCAGCCGTAACGAAGCAGACTAATATAAAAAAGCAGAAAAGCAAACCGTCCGCGGCCCGCGGCGCAACGGGGTTTCTCGTTTCCTTCGCCCAGAGCCACTCCGCGGCGGGGCGGGGCGAACCCCCGCCGTCAACCACCCCTCCGCGCCGGCCGCGGTAACCGAGCACCCACGGGCAGTGAACTTCCAAACGCGGGGTTCAGCGTTCAACTCGCCCGTCCTATCTGGTCGTCCACGCCGTTTCTAGGTCTCCCTGACGTCAGCGTGGACGTTTAGTGAAGGAAATGCAGTGTACACTCAGGAAATACAGAGCATGGCATGGTATGGCGTCTCATAACTTGTTGAAGAGGCGATGCAGGTCGGCTTTGACGACTCCCCTTAGCTACGCCACTGCTCGCTTTCCAAGTCCAGAGGGGTCTTTGTTTGTCATAGGCTGATTCCGAGTCTTTTTCGTCGATCTGCCTCTCTCGCACTCGTGGGGCGTCCCGTGTAGGGCGAGAGAAACAGAGCGACGAAAGCGACTCTCGGAATCAGCCTTGTTGGCCCTGGCCGTCCTTGCGTCGCGGGCCGCTGGCCTGGCCGCGGGCCCCGGTGACTGACGACCCAGTGACATCGACTGCCACTTAGGCGCCGTCCGGCTCCCGGTTAATTATGCACCTCGGGCTGCGTGCGAGCGGCGCGTCGTGCCTCGCTCACTAGCCGTGTCGGGTGGGCGGGGCCGGCGTCGCCTTGCCGCCGCCTTGGCGGACGCCGTGGCGCGGACGCAGCCCGCGCCAACAAGTATTGAGCCGAGGAGCGATACGCCGTCGCCGCCGTGGCCCCGCCGGGCAGCCGCCAACGTCGTCACTTTCTTCGTCATCGCCGTCGTCATGGTTTCCCTCGTCGCCGTCGTCATGGTCCTCCTCGCCGCCATCATCGCCGTCGTCATGGTCTTCCTCGTCATCGTCATGGTCCTCCCCGTCGTCGCCATGGTATTCCTCGTGATGGTCCCCCTCCTCGTCGTCATCTTCGTCATGGTCATGGTCATCCCCCTCGTCATCGTCATGGTCCTCCTCGTCGTCGTCCTGGTCATGGTCATCCCCCTCGTCATCGTCATGGTCCTACTCGTCGTCGTCCTGGTCATGGTATTCCTCCTCCTTCTCCTCCTCCTCCTCGTCGTCGTCGTCATGGTCATGGTCATCGTCATGGACCTTCTCGTCATCGTCATGGTCTTCGTCATCGTCGTGCTCGCTGGGCCACGACGCCGGTCTAGAGTCCGCCGTCATGTCGCTTCATTAGCCCATCGCGTCGCGTGCGGCCACGACACCGGATCGAGTCCCCGCAAAAAGAGGGGGAGGGGGAGGGGCGCTTTGGCGGCAGATAGGACGAGAGATGCGCGTCGTGGTCGGTCACGCCGTGGCCCTCGCGGTCTCATTGACGCCCCTCCCCCTCCGTCTCTCCTCGGACAGTGTGACGGTGCTCTGTCCAAGGAGGACGGTTCGTTTGCAAAAGTATTTCTGGCGTTCCTCGCATGAAACGACGCGCTCGTCGAAGTTGGAAAATAGCAGTGCCCCGCCGCCCTTGCGCACACGGCGGCGCGGCGGACTCGGCGGGCAACGGTGCAGCGCGGATAACGCGTCGCCGCTATCTCGCGCCGACGACGCCGGATGCACGGTAAAAAAAATATTACAGGTCGTGGTTTGTAAGGATCAGTCCAGTGAAGGACTTGAGATCGATTAGGCAGCTACCGCCTAAAGAAGGAAGAATCCGGGGAATACATCGAGAGGCAGCCCAGCTTTGCGAACCGCTACACAGTGGGTAGAGACGGCCAAAATTAAACCCGCGATTTGAGCACCAGTGTCGCTCAACAAACAGGACCCGAACCAAGCATGTGACCCGGCCAATGGATTCCTCGTTCGGGGAGCAATCTATTGGCGTGGTCACACGTTCGATTCAAGTCCCATTTAGTGACTTTAGAGCTCAAAACACGTCTACCTCATTATAAGACATTTAAATACTACTAGACTGTTTTCCAACAAACGTGACATCACATTCGTTAAAAAACAGAGTGGACCCCTTTTTGAGGAGTCACTCAGTGTCGTGTGCACACACGTTTCCTGAATACATCCCATCCCATCACAGATTCAGAAGTAATGGTTTTCGAAGAAGTTTCTTCTCTTTAGAGTGTGTCACTATCACAGGATTGGATTACGATGTCTTTTCCGATAAAACTTTGGATGAATAACGAGAGAACCCGGCGCCCGTACTGAAGAATACAGAGGAAACCTCCGCGAGCATTGAGATGGAAATATGCTCCTTTCAGGAAGGGCGTAGGTGGCACAGTGGGTCTGGGTCGGAAGACCGGCGTAGGCGGCAAAAAATCTAGACGCGTTTTGAGCTCCAGAGTCGCTAAATGTGACTCAAACCGAACGTGTGACCCCACCAATGGATTGCTCTCCGAACGAGGAATCCATTGGTGGGATCACACGCTCGGTTCGAGTCCTGTTTAGCGACTCTGGAGCTCAAAACGCGTCTAGAGTTTTTGCCACCTGCGCCGGCCCACTATGGGTGGCAGCACGCTTGAAGAAAGATCGTCACGCATTCGTTTTTCCCGTGTATACAAATACACTCAAGAGCAG